AGATGAGTCTTGTTAGGCGTTTCCTGTCTTCTCAAAATGTGTTTGGTGTTGTACTGGAAGCAGGCTTTCTCCAAGGAAACACTGAGCAGTTTCACCTCATTTTCCCTGGGACTGTAACTTCTGTACCTACTGATCTTGGCTGATTTTGTTATTAACTGTTACTGTTGTGACTTGAAATAGCCTGTGTATGGTTCTTACCCCATCCCTGAGTTTCTGGAGTGGCTCCACCCTTACTCGGGTCTCCACCCCTGTGGGTTAAACTTGCCCTTTGTTCCTTCTGGCCACAGAGTGTGTGAGTAAATGTCCCACGTGTGTGGATTGCTGGCCAAGGTGATATTTTAAGGCTCCTCTGTTCAGAACAGTTTAACTTTCATGCTGTTGGCCAAAGGCATGGTCCTGGGACCTGTTCAGCTGCCTCCAGCCAGTTACTGCAGAGACCAGGACACCTTGCTGTCCTGCTCAGGCAGGGATGCCTCAGCATTGCCTGTGGCCCACGTGACAGGTATGTTCAGAGATGAGAGCTGGGATGGGGTGGAGGTAGATAACAGTAATGAAACGTGGATTAATCTCCTTTTACCTCCATTGTGGTCAGTGAAGGTTTATATGTTTTGTTTGTTTGCTTTATTTGTTATTTTATACTACACTCTTTCGTTTGTTTGCTTGGTTTGGTTTGGGGGGGCAGTATCTCACAATGTAACTTTGGCTGGCCTGGAACTCTGAGGGACCTTGCCTGCCTCTGTAATGCTGGAAGTTGAGGTGTGTGCCGCTATGCTCAGCCTTGTTTTGTTTGAGATAGGGTGTCACTGTCTTAATAGCTGACTTGGAACTTGCTATGTAGACTAGGCTGGTCTCAAACTCACAAAGGTTAGCCTGTTTCTGCTTCCTGAGAGCTAAGAATAAAGGCGTGTACCACCATACTCAGCAAACTAGACTTTTAACAAATACTTAATGGAAGAACATGAATAATATGTAAAATGATGTTAGATGTATATATCTTGATTGAAAAACTTAAGCTAAATTGAAAACTGCCAAATAATATATCCAACTAAAATAGTTTTTAAAAGAAGTATTAAAAATTACTAGACATATACAATCAAAGTAGAACAATGTTAAACAGTATAAAGTAATGAAAACACTGAGAAAATAATTACTATCTGACAAATTTATAATGAAAATGATAAAAAATTCCTGACTGAATTAATATTGAAAATGTGTTTTATAAGCTAAATATTAAATATCCACATTTCCTCTGAATTTAAATTTGTATTTCAGTTTTATTATTTTGGATTTTAAGTATGTTGCTGGTGTGTGTATGTGTTGTTCTACAGTAGAAAAGATAAAGATTATTTCTTTATGATTGTCAATATTTCTGCTCCCTGAGTATTTCACACAAGTTTAGGGCCCTTAGCTGTTCTTTCCTCAGTCTACCTCTATAGCAGTGGGTTAATTGAAAGGATTAGTTAATGTGCTAAGTTTACCAGCTTGCATTGTTCAGAAGTTAGGCATTCTAGCCCACACACTGACACTGAAGTGGGTGCAGTACCTCTGACTCATGAGGCTTGCCTGTCTTAACTAGTGGCAAATATGGCATAGACTGGACCTTGATGTCGAAGGCTCCAGTGTCCTCCACCCACAGGCTTTGGTTCCCTTTTGCTTTGTTCTTTAGTTTACTCTCTTATTTCATTAAACATCGTTCCCCAGCCTTCCAGCTAAGATCGTTCCTAACTCTGTGCTTAGTCCTGGCCTCAGAAAGAATTTGAAGATATTTTCCTTTTGTTTGGTGTTAGTGGATAGGTTGTATTTTCTGTGGATATCCTGTGCGGGCAGATTGGACAGGAACTCAGTCTACAAGAACAAAAGAGTGAGTGGGAAGAAAGAAGGAAGGAAGGAAGATTTGTAAAAGCCGGAGACGGGAGGGCCTGCTCGGAACGGAAAGACTGTCTCCTTGGCTTGGGTTTCTTCTAGGCCGTTTCCCTTGGGCTCTGCATTTACCTTGTGCTTGCTTGTTACTTCATTTAAGGCTGTATACCATTGGTTGACTGTTACTAAATTTATTAAAGTTTTTTAAAGTTTTTTTTTTGGTGTGTGTTGATTATATTTAACCCCCTCCTCTAACTCTTCCCATAGTTTTAAAATGTACACAGAATTTTTCTGTGAACTTCATTCTTTTTTCTTTTGTCAAATAAAATGGTTTTGAAGATAATAACTTGCCTTTAATAGCCCTCTTTTGGGCCCAGAGTTCTTCCCAGAGTAGATGAAACCTGTCTGAATATTTCCTTATGTGTTGACAGTCAGCAGTACAGAAATATTGTTCATCACATTTAAAAGGCGTCCGGTGTAAAGTGAGCTATGCCCAGTTTAAAGGGTTTGCTGCTCCCTCCCTCCAATAGCACCTGCTGTGAGTTTGCAGGCTACATGACGTATCCTTAAAAAAGCCTTTTTTTGTGTATTGGTTTGGAGACAGAATCTTGCTATATTGTGCAAACTCATCTAGTGTGGGACCTAAGATTCTTCTGCCTCGGCCTCTGTAATACTGGGGTTGCAGCCATGTGCCACATGCCTGATTTTAAAGAAAAGTTTCTTTAAAAGGGCCTCTTATTTAGGAGTGCTTTTGGGTCTGGGGAGAAGGGCTTTTTGTTGTTCATTATTCAATGAACGAATAAGAAAAATTTTGTCTTCAAAACAATGCACCTGGAAGAGTTTATACATGCATATCATAAGCAAGTAAATTGTGTGATGTGTTTTGTAGAACAAACTGGGCGACTAAATCAGGAAAGGAAGCTTGGAGTACGTTAGAGTGTTGTTAGGAGTGATGATGCACTTTAACATCGGACCATCAGGACCTGGTAGCCAGAGGATTACGTTTGAGGGAAATATGAAGAAAGCATTTTAGGCAGAAGAAAAGGCCAGTGGGGGAAAAGGCAGGGATGTGTACCTGCCATGTTTAAGCAGTAGTAGGGAGGGTAGTGGTCAGCATTGAAATAAGACTAGGGGAGAAAATATGCTAGGGCTAGAAAGGGACACTCCCTACTGTAGCCAAAGACTGGGGTTCAAGTGCCAGCACCAGGTGGCTACACACAACTGTAATTCCAGCTCCAATGGGTCTGATATACTCTTCTCACTTCCATAGGCACCTACACACGAGTGCAGACATACAGACAGACAGACAGACACACACACACAATTTTAAAAAATCTTTAAAAAAGAGCTGTGTGTGATGGTGCACACTTTCAATCCCAGCAGTGGGGAAGAAGAGGGAGGTGGACCTCTGTGAGTTCAAAACCAACTAGGGCTACATAGTGATACCTTGTCTAAAAAGAAAATAAAAAATGAAAATGAATTAGGCAAATTAAACTGCGAGGGACCTGAAAGGCCCTTTAGGGATTTGGTTCTTACTCTAAAATTGAAACCAGTAAAGAATTTTAAACATAGAGTAACAAAATCTGGCTCTTTTTTTAAGCTTTCAAAGGAAAAAGGATAGACACAGAAATCAGTAGCCTAGTGAAAGAATATTGGTAGAAATGAAAAGGTGGGTAAGAAATGGATAGATTTTGGATGCTTTAAAATTTTTACATTAGTTTGTATGTGTGTGCACACTTACACATTCACATGTGAGGGTCAGCGGACAGTTTAAAGAGTCAGTTCTCCTATCATGAGCATGGAACCAGGCTGTCAAGCTTAGCAGCAGGCAGCATTACCATTGAGCCAGCTCTGGACTCGGGTGTTCTGTGAGACTAAGAGCAGAGGCATGAACAATTGGAGTTTGTAGCCAGAGCACCTGAAAAGATAGAATTGCCTTTGAATAAGGCAGGGAATTTTTCACAAGAAGTGGGTATGGCTGGAGAAGCAGCTTTGCTTGGTAAATTCTAGCAGTGTCATTGGTGATTTCTGGCCTTCACGTTTGCGGCACAATGCCAGTTGAATGTTTGCTCAGATTAGTTTTACAGATCTTAACTTTGAAGATGCTGAGTTTCACAAAATAAGGTAGGCGTGTGCTACTTGCTACTTTTGTCATCATTGTGTTGAAGTTGGTTTTATTGTCTTCTAAAGACTACAGAAAATCAAGGTCTAAATATTACTTAATGGGTACCTTTATTTGGTTTGTGTTTTTTGTTTGTTTGGTTTTGAGTCAGGGGTCTCACTATGTATGCTATAGCTCTGAACAACCTTGAACCCACAGAGAGCTGCCTGCTTCTGCCTCCCCAATACTGAGATTAAAGATGTGTTCACTACACTCATGGTTAGTGTATTTTAAGGTACATTTCACTGTTTCCTGTCACTTATGTTTTGTGTAAGTTGGGCATCATGCACCTAACAGCTGTTAAGTATAGATTATAGAAACTTTAGGGGGAAAATGTGATTGTTAGCCATAAGAAGTACATTGTGAGTTTGATTCCCAGAACCCGTGGCTTTAAAAGCTGAGCATGGTGGCATACTTGTAATCCCAGTGTTGGGGAGCCAGAAGGCTAACATACTTGGTGACCCTTAGGCCAGTGAGACACCTAGTTTAAAAAGAAGATGGATGGCCCGGCAGCGGTGGCACATGCCTTTTTAACCCTGCACTCGGGAGGCAGAGACAGGTGGATCTCTGTGAGTTCGAGGGCAGCCTGGTCTACAAGAGCTCGTTCCAGGACGGGCTCCAAAGCTACAGAGAAACCCTGTCTCAAAAAACCAAAAAAGAAAGAAAGAGAAAAACAGAAGTTGGATGGTTCATGGCTCCTGAGGAATGACTGACACGTTGTTCTCGTCTCCACGTGCACACAAAAGAATAGTGGGAAAAGCCACTGCAGGTGTAATGAATTATATGAAAAAAGGCCCAAATGTGGACGGCAACACCAGTAAAGCTTCAAGTGTAAGGTGTGGTGTGGGGAGAGGGGCAGAGAAGTAGGTTCACCTCACTCATGAAAGGGCTTGAAAGCCAGGAATGAAGAGACTCCAGTTTGATGATGAATTCTTAAAGGGGCTTAAGAGTGATGTGGTCCAATTTTTGTCTTAAATAGATCACTTTGCCAGCTGTGTGGAGGATGGATTTGAGGGAGACAAGACTGGAGGCAGTAGTCCAGGTGAGATCTGTTGGGGTATGAAGGTATTGAAGGAGAGGTGAAGAGGGATGTCTTGAAACAACATGATACCACAGATTCAAAGCTTTCCCCCTCTTCAAAATGACTAAACCAATTTTGAATAAAAAAATTAGGAAAGAGATGTAAGAGAAAAATGTTACAGTACATGGACAGATAGATCTATTTGCCTTGGCAGACAGCCACTTCACACAGGCCCTTAGATCAAAATTGCTATAGGGAAGTTTTGTTTTTGTCTTTTTTTCTTTTTTGTTTGTTTCGGATAGCCAAATTAGGGTATGAGAAAGAGGTAATTTTTCAACAAACATGGTATAGATACAAATAGATTCAGAAACTATAAAGCCTTGAGAAGAAACAGATCTTACAAGGCTAAGGCTGGTGTGGATAAGTGAAACTCACAAGTGCATTAGTGGTATTTTCTAGAACCTTGATTAAGTTTACAAAAATTTGATGCCCGGGAAAAGAGATTATAGTTTTAAAAGAAATTAAGGCAGTGAACAACTGTAAGCTATTATAACATAAAAAGATGTTTCTTTCTTTACTGTTTTTGAGATAAGTCTGACTCTGTAGTCTAGGCTGGTGTCAGATGCCTCCTGAGTGGTGGATTACAGGTATGAGCTGCCATGCTTGACTCAAATGTGGTTTTGTTTATCAGAGAACTTGAGCATTTATCTTGCTAGAAGCGTGGTATCTTTATTTGTTATTTGTAAATAGAAACAAAATTTCCCTACAGTTTCTTTTCTATGAAGGCATATAGGAAGCACCTAGTTTAGAAGAGTTGCTAATTTTACCATTCATATTTCTGATTCTTTCTGTAATAACTGGGTTTGAAGGACACTCCTATAATTCTAGCACTTTTGTGTAGGGGGTAGGGGACGGGAGTAGATGGCAGAAGGATCGGGAGTTCAAGGTCACCCTCTATTTCATAGCAGGTTTGAGACTGAGGCCATTTAAGACCCTGACTCAACTCCACTTCCAGAAAGCTGCAAGTCGTTACTACAGCAAAATGTCACATGTGCCTTGTAAAGCTAGCAAGTACTTGTTTGTTCCTCATTTTTAGACAAGTGCACCTTTGCTATTCCTTTAGGCCTGAGTTAGGTGACTGCATGTAAATCAGAACTAAAGTCTCATTCTGTGGTCTTTCCTCTAACTACAGTATTACAGTTGCAACAAGTCCGTTGCTACTGTAAGCCCCGGAAATTCGGCACCTTTGCTCACTCTCTTGTGTACGTTGTTTTTTTGAGATAGTCTCATGTAGCTCAGGCCGGCTTTAAATTCCCTGCCCAGTGGAGGAGACCTGGAGCTAACTCTGAACAGTTCTCAGTATGAGTCTGCGGCTCAAATGCTGCCCCTGTACCGAGGTGAGCTCTTGCTGTTTCACTCACTGGACTTCTTTCCCTTTTTATGTCTTTCAGAAGTTTTGCACCGCCCCTATGGCTGTGACGCTGAATCTCAGGCACTGAATGAAGCCATTAGGTGGAGCTCCAAGGAGAATTTGCTGGGAGCCACTGAGAGTGACCCTAATCTCTTTGTCGCACTTTATGACTTCGTGGCAAGTGGTGATAACACACTCAGTATCACTAAAGGTGAGACGTCTCTGAATTGTGCTTCACAGCTTTCTCTGGTGGCTGAGAAATGAACCCTGTGCTGCCTTCTGCCACTGCCACCGTTCACATGATTTGTGACCAGGCACTTCTGCTGCCTTTTCTCTTTTACCTCTTTCTGGACTGCTGCCTCAGAAACAATCAGCTCTATTTTCAGGATTTATTAAAGCAACTCAAGAAAAGGTTCATGTTGTTAGGACTTTGTACTCTGAAACACCCTAGCTTCTACCTGTTTACACTGAAATCATGACTGAGACAAGCTGCAGTGCAGAGCCCCCAGTGGTACTCCAGTGCTCTGCATGGACTGTTAGAGTTCACGGTGAGAGCAGGAGCTTGCACCCAGAATCTCAGCCAGCCATCTCACTGAGATTTAGTCTCACAAGACTATTTCGTTTGTATCATTTTCAGTTTTTGGAGTAAGACTTTGTGTAGAAAGTAGTCCAGTGCTGCCGGGCGGTGGTGGCACACACCTTTAATCCGAGCATTCAGGAGGCAGAGACAGGTGGATCTCTATGAGTCTGAGGCCAGCTTGGACTACGGAGTGAGTTCCAGGACAGGTTACAGGGAAATCCTGTCTTGAAGCCCCCCCCCCCCAAAAAAAGAAAAAGTAGTACAGTGGTTATATCAGGTGCATGGTTCTTACACTGCTGTTGTCCAGCTCACAGTGCATGGCCTAGACAACCCCTGTCTGTGTTGACTGGTGGAGAACTGTTAGGGAGGGGTCTATCTCCTGCTGTAATATCTTTAAAGAGTGAATGAGGTTCTTTTCAGTGGCCAGTTCTTATAAAAGGAAACAATAGAACATGACCAGATAAAATCACCAATTATATTTTGAACATCAATGAAAATAGTGGAACTTTATGAGAAAGAATAAGAGTGGGGACGTTCTTGTTTGTTTCACACATGGACTGGGTTAGGCTAGTCTCCTGCACTGGTTTTTTTTTGGGGGGGGGGGGTAGGGAGGCTGTAAAGCCTCCCACGGTAAGGAAATGTATTTCAAAATAATATTTAAATGAAATTATAACAAGCTATTATTTCTCAAACAGATACCTTTGATTTATAAGGTTCAAAATGAAGCATTTAGTGGAAATGATGATACTAAGTCAGGCCAGCAAGCCTTCCCTGACTGTGAGGAAATATTTCTATATAGAATTTTTATAACTAGTCATTAACTTTGGAACCTCATACAAGCTAGTCGTGTGCTCTAGTGATGAACTATAACCCCAGAATCAACATAGCAATTTTTAAGTGCCATCAAATTCACTTAAGCAGAATTCCTTAAAACCGAGTTTGTCAACAAAAACATTTTTTTACGTGTATTTAATTTATGTATATGAGAGCCTCTTGCCTGACTTTCTGCATGTGTACCACATGTGTGCCTGGTGCCCCATGAAGGTCTCAAGAATGGTTGCATCTCATGGAATTGGAGTTGCAGATGGTTGTGAGACACCATGTGGGTGCTGGGAATCTAGCCCAGGTCCTCTGAAAGAACAGCCAGTGTTCTTAAGTGATGAGCCATCTCTCCACCTCCCAAACTGAGTTTCCCGGACTGGGGTATAGGTGTGTTCAGACACTGTACACACACACACACACACACACACACACACACACACACACACGATTGACAATGGTTTTTCTTTAAAAACCTAATACCTAATTTTTATATCAATTTCTTACTACTAAAAAGATGTCTAAGATGTACACATATGAATTCCTACACAGACTTCAGAGTTTTTTTGTGTTGTTATTATTAATGAGTCAGGGTCTTATGTAACCCAAGCTTGATCTTGATGCAAAGCTGGCTAGCCTTGAACACCTAATCCTCCTGTCTTTACATTCCAAGTGTTGGAATTAAAGATGTTTGACACCATTGTCTGCCTTTTTATATTTTAAAGGAGAAGAAACTATCCTTTAATTATAGTTACTCTTTTGAAAGTGATGGTTGGCTTGAATTAAATAAAATTTGGGGTCTGGAAACATGGGTCAGTGGTTTATGAACACTTCTGCAGAGGACCCAGTGGTAAATCATAAAATCTGATAGACTCTTCTAGCCTTTTCAGGTATCATACACATAGATGGTACACATACATACACATAGGCAAAACATTTATACACATCAAATAAAAATAAATGTGCTTCACAAAAAATACTTTGTGTTGAATATGTGGCTTTTGTTTGAAATTCTAGGATTTTGAGATACTGAAGCAAAACATTGTTGGCCAGAGTGGGCTACAGAATGAGACTCTGTCTTTAAATAAAAATTTTGTAGAAAACAATTATTGTGGGGGGCTAGAGAGATGGCTCAGTGGTTAAGAGCGTTGCCTGCTCTTCCGAAGGTCCTGAGTTCAATTCCCAGCAACCACATGGTGGCTCACGACCATCTGTAATGAGGTCTGGTGCCCTCTTCTGGCCTGCAGACATACAGACAGAATGTTGTATACTAAATAAATAAATAAACAAACAAACAATATTGTGTGCATATAAGCAAGAGGATGGCTTGAACCCAGGGGACAGATGCTGTCTATCCTGACAGAGTGATATCTTCCCATATCAAAAATAAAAAGAAAGTTCTAAGATTCCTGTACTGGCAGGTTCAATGTCTGTTTCCCTGCCCATTTCCATGGTAGTCAAGATTGCCAGGGTAGGAATTCTAATAAAAAGAGGAGGGAAAAAAGGCAAAGCCCTGGGGGTTTTGGCTTTATCCTGATTATGATGGCCTATATTAAGCGGTTCTGTGAATTTCCCTGGCAAGTTCCTTTTCTTTTTTTAAAAAAGATTTATTTATTATGTATACAGTATTCTGTCTACATGTATGCTTTTTCTTTTTTTAAAAAAAAGATGTATTTATTATGTATACAGTATTCTCAGTATTCTGTCTACATGTATGCTTTTTCTTTTTAAAAAAAAAAGATGTATTTATTATGTATACAGTATTCTCAGTATTCTGTCTGCATGTCTGCCTGCAGGCCAGAAGAGGGCACCAGATCTTATTACAGATAAGTTGTGAGACACCATGTGGTCGCTGGGAATTGAACTCAGGACCTTTGGAAGAGCAGGCAGTGCTCTTAACCACTCAGCCATCTCTCTAGCCTGCAAGTTCCTTTCTTTTGTACATATAGCTACTGTGCATCTGCACATTTGTGAATATCCACTGCCCTACCAGACACTCATATCTTATTATCTGTATACATTGTATAATATGTACACATATGAGTTCCTACATAATGTAAGCCAAAGGAGAAAGGTAGATGGCTATAACAATAAGTCTGAATTTCCCTCACCAGTTTTGTCCTGGTATCTTCTGGGCCCTGTACTGTAGATTGATTGGCTTCTTTCTGCTCTCTGGAGCTAACAGATGTGAACTCTATAGAAAACTTTGTATCTCTTAGAAATAAGAACCTCAAGTACTACAGTCCTTAGATGAACATCTATGTTACCATTGCTATCTGTTACTCTATCAGTTTTGACAAAGAAGCTTCTAGTCTATGCTGCAAGTGTATATTGCATGGGACAAAGTGTATACTGAAGTTTTTAATAATAACATCAAGAGAATGAAGCTGATACAAAGATTCACCAAGTGATTTAGATTTGGGGTTCCAACTTTACAGTTATTTTCTGTTACCACAGACTAATTTTAGAGGAATGGGAAAGAATGATTCATTTTTTATGGGAAACAGGAAGAAACTGAGAAAATGAAACTTTGAAACCTTGAATTCTGGAAACACTTGAGCCTTAAGAGTCTTCACCACCCCTCCCATCCTCTAAACAGTTCTTGTGCTGAAACCTCTTTGTTGGATCTGGAGTCTCAGGAGGTTGGGGCAGGAAGTATTTGCTTACATTGAAAGCTTTGTTGCTTTGACATCATCTGAAAATACAAGTAACTGTATTTCAGACATCTTGTTCCTAAGCTTTTGTTATCATTAACACTGAATCATATGTGTGTGTTTGTGTATACATACATACATATATGCATACATACATGTATATCTCTTTAGGTGAAAGTAAATTTTACTTTTCTTTTGAAGAGTGAGTACTATCCAGGTGTTAGTATATGCCTATAATCCAGAATTCAGAAGACTGAAGAAGGGTCATGAGCCCAAGTCCAGCAGTGTAGGCTACATGAAACTGTCTTAAAAGAAGAAGAGGTAGGTGGGTGGGCTTGGTAGATGGTTCAGTGGTTAAGAGCACTTACTGCTCCTTCAGAGGATCAAAGTTCAGTTCTCAGTATCTGTATTAGATAACTCAGAGTTGTTGGTTACTCCAGTCCCAGGGGATCCAGCACCCCTTTCTGGACGGACGGACACACACGGACACACACACACACACACACACGAACTCTGTCATTTTCTAGCTATTTGAATAAACTTTCTATACTAACATACTAGCACAGGACATAGTTTCTGCAAGACAATTTAAGTGACATATAATCCTTTAAAAACTTATACTGTCTGAAACCATTTCTTGTTATGCTCATGTGATTTAAGCCACAGAGTGGAAACTAATCAGGATATTGGTAAGCAAGCACCAAGGTTCTTGGTTCATTTTTCAGTGAGGTTGAAGTTTTAAGCCCTTCCGCTCAGTCTTAAAGAGCCTTAATGTTTTCCCTTTCATTCTGTGATAACATCTTGGCTAGGTGAAAAACTACGAGTCCTTGGTTACAACCAGAATGGCGAGTGGAGTGAAGTTCGCTCCAAGAATGGACAGGGTTGGGTGCCAAGCAACTACATCACTCCAGTGAACAGCCTGGAGAAGCATTCCTGGTACCATGGACCCGTGTCCCGCAGCGCGGCAGAATATCTCCTCAGCAGCCTTATCAACGGCAGTTTCCTGGTTCGAGAGAGTGAGAGCAGCCCTGGGCAGCTGTCCATCTCACTCAGGTATGAGGGACGTGTGTATCACTACAGGATCAATACCACCACAGACAGCAAGGTAAGACATGTCAGCAGCCACCTGTGCATGTGGACTAGCTGTTGAAGAAATGCACTGAACAGGGTTAAAGTAGAAAATCATTTCTGTCTGATGTAAAATAAAGTGTTGCCTAATTGTGTGAGTTTGGGTTGTTTAGCTTGTTAGAGAGTCTGTCTTTCAAACCAACTTAGTAATAAGGATAAAATTGTAGATAATTAATAGTTTAAGGGTAAGCCATATTTGAAGACGAGGAATGAAGAGGTGTATACATGTTAGCTGTTTTAATAATCAACACAAATACACTCTAAGTGCTTAGAAGCAAAAGTTAGAAATCAACTCTAATGTCCATCAGGAAGTTCACAGAGTAAGAGTTGCTTCTCATTAGTATATGTTAATATAAATAGATCACCCAGCCACTTAGAAACTTGGATGTTGGGAAACTCAATCTCAGTAGAGTGGATGTGTTAGGCTGGAACTGTTTAGGGCTGGAGAGATGGCTCTGGTATGAAGTGCACTGGCCACTCTGCAGAGGACCTAGGTTCAATTTACAACACTCACCCAATAATTCACCATCTGTAACCCCAGTTCTGAGAGATCCAGTGCCCTCTTCTGGCCTCCACTGGTACTAGGAATACATGCGGTACACAGACGTGAGCAAAACACTCATCCACACAAAATAATAAAGTAATAGTAATTAAAATTTAAAACAAAAATGGAATATAAATTATAAAGCCCAAACTTACATCAGGTTTTGTTGTATTGAATGGTTGATTTAGGTTGAGCCCCCTTTCCTCCATGGGGCAAGCAGAACAGCTTTACTTTCTAAGTGCACTATTTATTAACTTGGAGACTTTACCTGAGTCTCAGTTTGCCTGGTGTTGGTGGTGATGGTTGGTGATTTAGGCAGGGTCTCTTTGTGTTATACCATATGGACTGGAACTTGCAATGTAGACCATGCTGAATTTGAGCTGTAACAGCCATTCTGTTTCTGTCTTCAGAGTCCTGGGATTATAGGTGTGCACCACACCTGGCTTTCCTTTGTCTATTACTATTATTTTTTCAACTTTGTTTACTTTTCAATTTTTAAAATGATGTATAATGTGTTGTATGTCTGTGGGTGGGTGTTTGTGCATGCGGGTGCAGTAACCACACAGGCCGGAAGAGGACTTCAGATTCTCCTGAAACTGGAGTTGTATGCTTCCTGGCATGGGTGCTGGAGACTGAATGTCAGTCCTCTTCAAGAGCAGTATACACTGTTAACCACTAAGCTATCACTTCCATCTCCCCCTTGCCTGTTATTAAACCCCATCTTGTAGGATTATTGTAAGTATTAAATGAAGCAATTTTTGTAAAGTTTAATAGCTTATACAACATAGGAAATAAATTACTAGTTTTCTTTCTCCTTTTGTACCATTATACAAGCATAGTGTATTGTCTATGGTCCAAGTGAATGGAATCAGAGTTTGTAATGTTTTTGGTTTTTGGTTTTTTTTCAAGACAAGGTTTGTCTGTAGCTTTGGAGCCTGTCCTGGAACTAGCTCTTGTAGACCATGGTTCCAGGACAGGCTCCAAAACCACAGAGAAACCCTGTCTCAAAAAACAAAAAAACAAAACAAAAAAAAAAAAAAGGCGTGCGCCACCACCGCCCAGCATTGTAATGTAACAAAAGTGCCAGTAGTTATTAGTTGTTTGCTTTTATTTGTCTCTATGACAAACACCAGAGAGAAATAGTTCACAGATATTTATTTTGACTCATAGTTTCAAAGAGTTCAGTCTGTTTGCAGTACTTTTTCTAATATTTTCAGGCTGTGGTCAGGCAGAACATCATGGTGGGGTCACGTGGTGTAACAGAACTGCTCACCTCATAGCTACCAAAAAGGGAGCAGAGAGAAGCAGCTTACTGATTGGACCTACCAGCTGAAGACCAGCGAGCCCTTCAGCACAAGTCTTTTGGGGGACACTGTGCATCTACTACCTGACATAAACACAACAGTAGTGACCACACATATGTGCCAGACTTACGCAAGAAAATTGATTCACAGCCACGGTATTTGTGATAACACCAAACAGTGTAATTGATTAATAAATGATCATATATTATTAAAATAGAATCTCCTACAGAAACAGAAATGAACATGATGTTCTGTACACAAGTCCCTAGGAAGCTGTGGCCTAATAGCTCCCTGTATCATCATGTTATTTGTTTCTGTAGTATCTGAAGCTACGTTCTGTTTCTAAGCAGACCGAAGTAGTTGCTACAGAGACCCTATATAGCCCCAAGCCTAAGATACCTGTTTTTTTAATCCCTTTACAGATAATTTTTCTGACTTTCTTATAGATGAGTTTCATACGCATAAAGTACATTGACAAGAGTAATATTTTCCAGAGAATTGTATGGAGAGGAGTGTGGGAGTGGTCGCTAATAGCTATGGGTTTTCTGTGGGAAATGATAAAAGTACTTCGATGGAGTTGGATAGTGGTGATTGATTAGCAAGCCCGGTAAATGTACTGAAAGGTATAGAATGGTATACTGTAATACTGATTTTATAGCATGTGAATAATAGTTTAATAAAGAGAACCGACACTAGATAATACATACTGCATGACTTCTGTACGTCATGCAGTTCAGACAGGGCTAGTCCCATATGCTGCAAGTGTATATAGTGGAAACCTTTGCAGGCAAGGATTCTGGGTGCTGGTGGTGTTATAGTTCTTGTGTGAGGAGTTTATTTTGTGAAAGATCACTAGTTCTCCACTTATGAATTATGCACATTTTTATATACAATAAAGCACCTTTTTGTTTTAAACAGTGGTTTATTGTTGAAACAATAGCTTGGGCATGATGGCACACACTCTAATCCCAGCACTCATGAAGCTGAAGCAAGAAAATCACAAGTTTGAGACCAAACTGGGTTATATAGAGGGACTCTGTGTAAATTAATCAGTCAGTTAATTAAAAACAAGCAAATCATATTCTCTTAGAAGATAAAGCCAGCCTGGTGGTGGTGATGCATGCCTTTAATCCTAACCCTTGGGAGGCAGAGGAAGCAGTTCTCTGTGAGTTTGAGGCCAGCCTGATCTACAAAGCAATTTCCAGGATAGCCAGAGCTACACAGAGAAATCCTGTCTCGAAAAAAGATACAGCCGAAGACTATCTTATTTTATACTTATTAATTATCACAAATTAACAAGCATCTTGTTAATAACTCTGAAATCCAATTATATCTCTTTTTTTAATGGCCTAGACATTTAAAAGGGATGTTGTAAAAATAAAATTAATAATTAATTATATGATGATTAAATAAATATTATACCCGTATAACTTCTTAATTTTAAAATTAGTGGCTGTCAGTTTATGTTCCCCATGGATTATAAATTCTCCTTTATTAGCTTGGAAGCAGATCCTGATTGCTTATTTTAACCAGTTCTCAGGTTTGAGTTGCACAATCTCTTTTTTTTTTTTGTGGTAGTGTCTTGCTCTAGCACAGGCTGACCTGGAACTCTGAATGTTCTTCCTCCGGCATCTTCTGAGTGCTGAATTACACATTCTCTAGTCCTAATGCTTAGCAGTATTCTGAGGACAAGTTTGCCTGACGTACCTGCAGCTGAAAGAATAGGCAGGATGCTTACAATGAGATTAAGCCATCTCCCTTGCCCTGAGTATTAACATTTACTCTGTCTTAATTCTGATAACCTTCTGGAGTGCTAGTAGCACTAGCATACAGCACCTGTGATCTTCGTGCCTTGTAGGTGGAGACAGAAGCATCAGAAATTCTTCAAGGCCAGCCTGGGCTATATAATGGATACCCTGTCTCAAAACAACAACAAAAACTAGGCCAAGTGTGGTAGTGCGCGCACCTAGAGGTAGAGAACTCTGGAGGCAGAGGCAGGTAGATTTCTGTGAGTTCAAGGACATAGTTGAGACCCTATCTCAGAAAACAAGCAAATATCATGTCTCTAGGCCAGTGAAATGTATGCTTTTAAAAATAGTTCCTTCTTTTCTGGGTTCATTGAGTCTCCTTTTCTCCGCAGGTGTATGTGACTGCTGAGAGCCGCTTTAGCACGTTGGCAGAGCTTGTTCACCACCACTCTACAGTCGCTGACGGGCTAGTGACCACACTGCACTACCCGGCACCCAAGTGTAACAAGCCAACCGTCTATGGTGTGTCCCCTATCCATGACAAATGGGAAATGGAACGAACAGATATTACCATGAAGCACAAACTTGGGGGCGGTCAGTATGGAGAGGTTTATGTTGGCGTCTGGAAGAAATACAGCCTTACGGTTGCTGTGAAAACACTGAAGGTGGGTTGCTGAGAGTTAAGTTTGCAGACATGTTTGTGTGTGTGCTGAATCACTTGGAAAGATCAGTGTGCCCTTCTTCAACTTTGGAACACTTTCCACCCACTGGTGCCAAACATTTCAGCAAATGGTGGTGATTAACCATAGTGCCGCTGCTGACAGTGCAGGGCAGATTATTCCCTGCAGAACAACCCACGTGCTGGAAAGGCTTGTCTCTGGAGGCTGTTGATAGAGATCGTATCGGGATTTAGAAGCAAATTATAAGTTCTGCTGAGAACAGGCCCTGCTGAACAGAATTCTCCATGTGATCATAAGCTCCCTATTTTGGTTTCTATCCCCCTGCCTTTTGTTTTTCCCTTATGCCTTCTTGCAATTGAGACACCCTTTTTTTAAAGTTAAAGTAAAAATGACAGGGTGTCACTAAGTAGTCTGGGTTGGTCTTCAAGTCATGATCCTCTGCCTCAGCCTCCAAGTGCTAGACTTACAGGTATGCACTACCATGCCCTGCTAATCACTTCTTGTTCTTAAATTCATAAAAGTCCTTTTCCTGACCCTACTGTCCTTTTTTTTAAGCACCCTGGTATAAAATCACAGAGTTGTCAGTCATTCAGTACTGTGGTGTGTCATTCATGTGAGCTGTTCTCATGGGTAGTCAGCTCAGCCGTGTTTACTAGCATGTCCTGAGTGTGAAGTGAGCAGGGATGCCGTGCACATGTGCTTTGTTCTTTAAGAATCCCAGTATCGGGCTGGAGAGATGGCTCAGAGGTTAAGAGCACTGGCTGCTCTTCCAGAGGTCCTGAGTTCAATTCCCAGCAACCACATGGTGGCTCACAACCATCTATGATGAGATCTGGCGCCCTCTTCTGTGTGCAGGCATACATGCAGGCAGAATGCTGCTAAATAAATAAATAAATAAATAAATAAATAAATAAATCTTAAAAAAAAAAAAAGAATCTCAGGATCTAATCAGAAGGTCAAACACTAACCTGCCAGAAAACTGAATCTCAGTCCTCTGTGGTGAGTTTTAAGATGAGGCTGTTGAATTTTGCTTACCCTGTTTATTTTCATTTTTATTCCAATGTCTGACATTGGATAAGTTAAAGACAGTATTCTTAGTTATTCTTCTGTAGAGCATATTAGGTTGTATGTAGTAAGATTAATCTTAAGATAATATGCTAGAATACTCAAATGTGATCCCTTTTACTTAAAAAAAAAAAGTACTTTTATGTGTATGAGTGTTTTTGTCTACATTTTACACCACATAGTTGCAGTGTTAAGGGAGGCCAGAAGAGGGCATCAGAGTCCCTGGAACTACAGATGGTTATTAACTGCCATGTGGATCCTGGGGACCAAACCTAGATCCTCTGCAAGAGCAACAAGTGCTCTTAACTACTGAGCCATCCCTCCAGCCCCCTTTTACTTTCATGCCTCAAGTAGGCTTGTGAATTAACTTAAGTGAATAAGTCTTTCTTTCTTACATACTTTAACCTTTAACAGGAAGATACCATGGAGGTAGAAGAGTTCCTGAAAGAAGCTGCAGTGATGAAGGAAATCAAGCATCCTAATCTAGTACAACTGTTAGGTAAGAACCCCAAACCATAGATTTCCTCAGATCCACGCTCCCACCCCAGCCCTTTGTTGTATTCAGATCATGGTTTTGCAGATTGTTGTGTTTTGTTTTAGCACCATGTTGGAAATGCTAGGTGTAAACTGACTGCATTAAATCCTGTCAAGAGCTGGGGATGCAGACCAGGAGTAGAGCTAGTAAGCATCAAGTCTTAGACTTAGTACTGCAAATACACATACACACATGCAGGCATATGCGCACGTAGGCACATCGCTTCTCCTTTCATTAGTAGACTGCTTAAAACAACAGTGGCCCAAGTTGATGGCTTTTTTTAAAAAACTTATATTTTTCACTGTATTTTATATGTATATATGTTTTGTCTGGTTATAAACGTCTGCAGTGCCCAAGGAAATAAGAAGAGGACATTGGATCTCCTGGAACTGGAGTTCTTAACCCCTGAACCAACTCTCCGGCCCCTTTAAATTTTCTTTACTTAGTTAAAGTGTTTGGGTGTTTTGCCTACATGTGTGTCTATGTACCATATGTGTGCCTTGTGCCTTTGGAGGCCAGAGGGAGGGCGTTGGATCCCCCAGTACTAGAGTTACAGATAGTTGTGAGCTGCCATATGGATGCTGGGAATCAAACCCCAGTCCTCTGCAAGATCAACCAGTGCTCTTAACTGCCCAGTCATCTCTCCAGCCACAGATTGATTGCATTGTGGAAACGTGTCCAATTTGTAGTTTTCCCAGATTCAAAGTTCACAAGCATTCAAGGTGGCATCAAAAATTGCCATGAAATATTAGGAGACATTAAACAAAGAACCACTGGAAAAGGTGAATTAAAACTTGTGGCCGATGAGTGTATTCAAGCAGGAAATGCATATGCTGCAATGGGCTAGTTTCTTACTTGTTTGGGTTACAAAGGATCCTTTGAGGAAACATTTTTGCTTTTTTAAAAATCAGGCCTTTTCTGTTCTTGTTTTGTTTTCCAAGACAGGGTTTCTCTGTGTAGCACTGGCTGTCCTGGAACTCACCCTTGTAGGCCAGACTGGCCTTCAACTCACAGAGATCTGCCTCCCAAGTGTTAGGATTAAAGGCATGCGCCACCACTGCCCAGATGGACCTTTTTTTTTTTTTTTTGAATGCTCAAATTAAGCTAAGCTATGCTAAAAGGAAACCAATTAATATGGAATCTGCCATTTATTAGTGAAATTCTTGACTATGAAGATAGTTTTTTACAAAGTAGTTAGAAGCAAGGAAGCATCAGCGTAGGCCTAAGTTCTGTTACTTTAAGTTAACGTGGTTTGAACCCAGTTGAAGGGGAATGGGCACATACAGAGTTCTAGAAATGTTGATCTTATTCCTTTTCGGGTTAAGGTAAGAAATCTGCGTCCCAGGCCAATGCTGAAAAGGTCTGTGAAGCTGCAGAGGACAGCATGGCGGAACAGATTGACCAGCTAGTTTAAGATGTGTTGTGTTTATTTCATAGAATGTGGTGAAGATTGTCAATTGTTCTTGGTCAGGTGTGTGTACTCTGGAACCGCCGTTCTACATTGTGACTGAATACATGCCTTACGGGAATCTGCTGGATTATCTCCGGGAATGCAACCGTGAGGAGGTGACAGCAGTTGTTCTACTTTACATGGCGACTCAGATCTCTTCTGCCATGGAGTATTTGGAGAAGAAGAACTTCATCCATAGGTGTGTGAAGCTGACTGTTGTGATGACTAACCACAGAGCTGTCTTGCTTGATGTGACCGTGAAAGAAGAGCGTTGGCAGACCGTTCCACACACAGGCTTCCTCTGTTTCAGCCTCTAACAAGAGAGCTGTTGCATCTAACACTTCACCCAAGATCCTTTGTTCCACCTAGTGGCCAAATTTTTTAAATGCCATTCTGTCTTAGGAAAGTATTTTAAAGCCTTCAGGGAGGGGTCTGTTGCTCCCCCTTGAAATCTATCCCATTATATTTAAAAAGGAATTCATTTTGTTCAACGTCTTTTTTCTGCCTCTTTGTGGGTACTCAATGAGTGGTAGAAATTAGTGATTTTCCATACTGGTGATTATCATATATCATAAAGTATGACAGTGTTAGTTAGCATCTCCTTATCAACTCTGCCTGTAACACACCGAACCAAGACTAGCGTGTTCACACCCATCTTTCTCACCATCAGCTGGAATAATTCAGGGCTCTTTCCCATAGAGATCTTGCTGCACGGAACTGCCTAGTAGGCGAAAACCATGTGGTGAAAGTAGCTGACTTTGGTTTAAGTAGACTGATGACTGGAGACACCTACACTGCTCACGCTGGAGCCAAATTCCCTATTAAATGGACGGCACCTGAAAGTCTGGCCTATAATACCTTTTCAATCAAATCTGACGTCTGGGGTAAGGTTGATACAACTTCTTACATGTATTTTATTCATTCATTTAACATTAACCATGGCTGGCCTGGTAGTTACTCTATAGTCTAGGCCAAAACTTGGGATAGTTCTTCAACCTCAACCTCCTGAGTGAGGACCATAAGCCACCATGCCCAGCTAATTCCCTTAGTTCTTCAGAGCTTTTATGATTCTCACATTACAAAAAAAAAAAAAGGATATTGAGAAGGGTGGTGGAAACAGCTGAGAAAATATCAACACCTACTTTGTAATACCATCACTCAGAAATCTGAGATACGAGATCTGGGAGTTTGGAGTGAGGCCAGCTTGAGCTACATAGGGATGGGGTATAGTTTAGTGGTAGAGTACTTGCCTAGTTGGTACAAGACCCTGGGCTGTTCCCCAGCATAGGGGTTGGGTAGAAGCAATCAAAAAATGTATTACAGTTGAGACATGGTAGCAGATGCCTGTACTTTAGCACACTGGATGCTTAGACACTCAGATCCTGTAACACCTACCTGGACAGTATGACAAGACTGAACAGCAGCCATATAGCTTGACATGGTGGTGAGGGCTCTGATCTCAGCACTTAGGAGACTGAAGGAATATGAGCACAAATTGGAGTACAGGCCAGCCTGTGCTCTCTGTATAGTAAGTTCTAGGTCAGCCTGTGCTCTCTGTATAGTAAGTTCTAGGTCAGCCTGTGCTCTCTGTATAGTAAGTTCTAGGTCAGCCTGTGCTCTCTGTATAGTAAGTTCTAGGTCAGCCTGCGCTCTCTGTATAGTAGGTTCTAGGTCAGCCTGCGCTGTCTGTATAGTAAGTCCTAGGTCAGCCTGCGCTCTCTATATAGTAAGTTCTAGGTCAGCCTGTGCTCTCTGTATAGTAAGTTCTAGGTCAGCCTGCGTTCTCTGTATATATTAAGTTCTAGGTCAGCCTGTGCTCTCTGTATAGTAAGTTCTAGGTCAGCCTGCATTCTCTGTATATAGTAAGTTCTAGGCCAGCCTGCGCTCACTATATATTAAGCTCTAGGCCAGCCTGTGCTTTCTATATAGTAAGTTCTAGGCCAGCCTGTGCTCGCTATATAGTAAGTTCTAGGCCAGCCTGTGCTCGCTATATATTAAGTTCTAGGCCAGCCTGTGCTTTCTATATAGTAAGTTCTAGGCCAGCCTGTGCTTTCTATATAGTAAGTTCTAGGCCAGCTTGTGCTTTCTATATAGTAAGTTCTAGGTTAGCCTGAACTGTGTAAGAGCCTGTTTTTAGGGGGGAAAAACCAAAACCAAAACCCCTATGCCTTGAAAGAGGGTCCAGTCCAGACCTCACACTGCAGTGGATCTGTGCCAGTCCTTCCTCTCTAAAGCTTCCTGCTTTTCCTGTGAGCTTGTGCTTATTTTCAGAATTCTGTCATAGGGAATGCTCTATGTAAGGACGGTCTGAGAATGTTTCATTTAGAATTTGTCCTTATCCTGGATCTAATTTCTACTGCCCTGAGAAGTAGAATGACTAAGTAGAGAGACTCAGTAGACCAAATTAGTATAGAAAATTGGAATTGGAACCAATAAAAATATATTTTTTTAATCCCTTTACACAGCTTTTGGAGTACTGTTATGGGAAATTGCTACATATGGGATGTCACCATATCCAGGTATTGACCTATCTCAAGTCTATGACCTACTGGAAAAAGGATATCGAATGGAACAGCCTGAGGGGTGCCCCCCTAAAGTATATGAACTTATGAGAGCATGTAAGTGTTTTGTATATTTGAGCTTTGAAAAAGAACCAGCAACAGGGTGGTTAATGAAATCTACCATTTTTGCTCTCAGTCTTGATAGACTGGATCTAGTCTCATTAACAGTTAAAGAGCTTGTCATTGACAGGGCCAGTTGGCACAGTGCATGATGTACCATTGAGTCTTACTGGAATCCCAAGAATAGCTGTCTGTGGCCCATATACAGAGCCAATTTCTGTATATTTAATAAGGCAGTGAGAAGTTGAGTTTGCATAAAATATTAGGAGGATGGCTGCTTTCAGCTAGATATGAATGGTTACTAAGTGTGATTGTTAAAGTAACCTGTGATGGGTTGGGAGGTGGCTCAGTGTGTAAGAGCACTTGCTCTGCATGCATGAGGACTTGAGTTCAAATCCCTAGTGAAAAGCCTGTCTCCGCTGCACATGCTGGTAATCCCAGCATCAGGGATGTCAAGAGCTCCCAGGAGCTCACTGGCCAGCAAGCATACTTAGCTGAAGTGGCAAGCTTCTTGTTCAGTGAGAGACCCTGTGTCAAGGCACTAAAGCAAAGAGCAGTAGAGAAAGGCATCCTGTGTTTTTTTCTGACTTCCACAAGCCTTACATGTGGGCATCTAAATGCACACTCCCATGCATTTTCTAGACACATAAAAACCAGAAAGTAATCTCTTATGAATGTGGACAAAAGCATCAGACTGCTTGAGGATGCAAGCTTAGGAATTGAGTAGTAAACAAGAGTGTGCTTGTGTTCACGCGCTACTGCATTATTTTCTCAACGAGCATTTGCGGCTCGTGCTACCCTTTATCAGGTGTGAACTCTGTAATCTTTCTGATAGCTTGTTAAACTTCTGGATTTATACACTCAATTTTTAGGAACCTGGGTGTATTTTGTTGTTGGTGGTTGGTTGGTTTTTGTTTGATTTTTTTTTTTTAAAGACAGTATTTCATCATGAAGCCCATTCTGGCCTGGAACTCACTGTGTCCAGCAGACTGCTCTTGATCTCATAGAGATCTGCCTGTCTCTGCCTCCTCAGTGTTGGGATTAAAGGTGTGTGCTACCATGCCTAGCCAGTTATTTTTTAAAATATTTATTATTATTTATTTATGGGGTGTGCTGCAGTTTTAGTGTGGGAGTCTCTGTATAAATTCTCTTATTTCACATTGTGAAGCCAGGGATTGAACTCAGGTTATCAGACTTGGTGGTGAGCACTTATACCACTGAGCAATCTTACTAGTTCACTTTTCTAAAAGTGGAAAACTTGCCATTTTCAAAACAGTCTCCTGATCTTTTCCTCATTTTTGTGAAAGTAGTAGGAATGGGGACCAACACCAAGGAGTGGGAACTCGTACTGTATGGCTGGAACCAGGAAGTAGCCATACATCCCACGGTTCACCTACACATGCAGTACTCTGATAGCGCACACCATGGCGTGTGGACCCCATTGCTGGTGTGCTTCTGGGCATGACGCTGTCAAGGAGGCTTTAAGTTCTCTTCTGTTACAGGCTGGAAATGGAGCCCTGCTGACAGGCCCTCTTTTGCTGAAACCCATCAAGCTTTTGAAACAATGTTTCATGACTCCAGCATCTCTGAAGGTAAGTCTTCTGACTGGGGATTGACTACTGGTGGCCAGTTGCAGGGTAGTGATGGTCATTCAAAATGGGCAGCTACTATAGTTCTTAACTGTTTAAAGTTGACTTTTGACCTTTATTATTCTGCTTTTTTATACCTTTTTAAAAGTTTTGTGTTTTTCATTTTTCTTTCTTTTTTTATTTGGTTTTTGAGACAAGGTTTCATTGTGTATCCCTGTGTGTCATGGAATTTACTCTGTATACCACACTGGCCTCAAACTCAAGAGATCTGCCTACCTCTCTGCCTCCGGAGTACTGGGATTAAAGGTGTACGCCACTACTGCCCAGGAGTACTGGGGATTTTTATATCGTATTTCATACTGAAATTACATTTTGATTTAAAATGTACTCAGTCTCTACAAAGAAAATCAGTAACTTCAGTAGTTCTTAACACAGTATGAAGGAGATTAAAAAATAAGTGTGAAAATATTCTAGGGGGGCTGGCTGGAGAGATGACTCAGAGGTTAAGAGCATTGCCTGCTCTTCCAAAGGTCCTGAGTTCAATTCCCAGCAACCACATGGTGGCTCACAACCATCTGTAATGAGGTCTGGTGCCCTCTGCTGGCCTGCAGGCATACACACAGACAGAATACTGTATGAATAATAAATAAATAAATACTTTAAAAAAATATTCTAGGGGATGAGAAGATGACTCGGCAGTCAGGACACTTAGTACTCTTGCAGGGGGCCAGAACCAACATCCACTCTGGGTGACTCACAAGTATCCGTAACTCTGGCTTTAGAGTACCCATTGCAACCTCTTGGGGTTGTTGAACAACCCTTTCACAGGGGTCACATACCAGATATTTATGTAATGATTCATAACAGTAACAAAATTAAAGTTATGAAGTAGCAAATAAAAATAATTTTATGATTGGGGTCACCAGAACATGAGGAACCCTATTAAAGGGTCATGGCATTAGGAAGGTTGAGAATCATTATTTTAGAGACTTCAGTGCCCTCTTCTGGCCTCTGTGGGCACCTGCACTCATGTATGTATTCCCACACATATGTACATAATTTAAAGTAAATCCTTAAAAATAAATATATTCTCATACTAAACCACATCTAAGGCAAGACCTAGACCACCCCCCCCATCAATATCACGAAATTCCAATAGAGTATAACCAAGATTTATCTATAGGCAGATGTGGCATCTGACTATTGCTTATAATACTGAAAAAAATAGGAACAACCTAAGCATTGAGTGAACTGTTGATTGTATAACCACATAACTGAAAACTTATATCTTTAAATATTTTAGGCTATCAGTAGAGATAAACTTGTCCTTACTCAAGAAATGGATGTATGGACACATATAGGAAGTTGCTTGCTTTTGTACGTAGTACTCATACCTGAAGAAGTCAAGCAATAAGCAGTGTGTGGCACATCAGTTATTTCAGCACTCAAGAGGCTGAGGCTGGAAGCTCTCAAGTTGAAGGCTAGCCTGAGCTACAGCATGAGACTAATAAAGTTAATAGCCTGCCCTTTTGTGGTATGGAGTAAGACCCTGTTCTTGGAGAGCTAAGACTACAGAATTCTTAGGGGTTTTTTTTGTTTTTTTGTTTGTTTGTTTGTTTGTTTTGTTTTTCGAGACAGGGTTTCTCCGTAGCTTTTGGTTCCTGTCCTGGAACTAGCTCTTGTAGACCAGGCTGGCATCGAACTCCCAGAGATCCGCCTGCCTCTGCTTCCCGAGTGCTGGGATTAAAGGCGTGCGCCACCACCGCCCGGCCAGAATTCTTAGTTTTATCTGTCTATTAGACACTGTGATACAGTTCTGAAATTTTGTATAAACGTTTCCTTTTCTTTATAATCACATAGAATTGATCTTGTAATTTCAAGTTTTAATATAGTAGAAGAAATTGAGAGTTGAATTTTGTCCTCCCCTAGTGGTTTGTCACACGAGGTAAGAAGAAAGAGGAAACAAGTGCAATGTCAGTGTTTTAATATGTCTTTATCCTTCCCTCAGGTTGTCATCTCTCTTTCACACACACCAAATCAATTTATTAAGTGGTAGCAAATTTTTACAATTTGATTGTGTTTCATTTTTGTTTAGGAATAAAGAGTATGTTTTTGCCTCAGTCAGTAAAAGCCACAAAACTCAGCTGGGCGGTAGTGGTGCACGCCTTTAATCCTAGCACTTGGGAGGCAGAGGCAAGTGGATCTCTGTGAGTTCAAGACCAGCCAGGGCTACATAGTGAGACCCTGTCCCAAAATCAAAGCACATTTTAGGGCCGAAGAGATGGCTCAAACGTTAAGAGCACTGGCTGCTCTTCCAGAAGACCTTAGTCCTAGCAACCACCTGGTGCCTCATAACCATTTTAGATCTGGTGCCCTCTTCTGGCCTGTGGGCATACATGGAGGCAGAACACTACATACATAAGATATAAACAAACAAATATTTAAAAAAACAAAACACAAAACTCAAGAGTTGGCAGCCAAGGGTGACCAACAGAGTGAACACTTTTTTGATAATCAAGTTTTGTTTGGGGGGATTGTTTATTAGGTTTTTTATTTTTTAATTTGGGTACTTGGGCTTAAACCCAAAGTTTTGTACATGTTAGACAGGCACTCTACCACCTGAGTGGCATTCCCAGCTCAAAAGAATCAGGTTTTTTTTTTCCTATTGTAGGTGGTTAGTTGGGGGGAGGGGGGGACAGGGAAATGTACTGATTTGTTTCACATGCATGAAATGGAATAAATTATATTTCTCTACTTTTTAGTGAAAAGTGCAACCTAATGGACATGTGTTTTTTTTTTTTTTATTCAGCATCTGAACAGCACTTAGGCTCTCCAAATACCCACTTAGTCCAGTAAGCATGCAAAGCTATGAGCAACATCACTTGCCGCAGGAAGTACAGGTTAAACTATTGAGATTCCCATGACATGCTTACCAGGTTGAGAAAAATTAAAGTTACATACAGCCGGGCGGTGGTGGCGCACGCCTATAATCCCAGCACTCGGGAGGCAGAGGCAGGCGGATCTCTGGGAGTTCGAGGCCAGCCTGGTCTACAAGAGCTAGTTCCAGGACAGGAACCAAAAGCTACGGAGAAACCCTATCTCGAAAATCCAAAAACAAACAAACAAATAAAGTTACATACACTATAGAGTAACAGCATCCAGTTCTTGCAGGCATGCTGAATAGGTAACCAGAACACTTACACACTGGCAATGTGGGTGTAAATTGTTACGGCTGTTATATTGATCAGAACTGATAGAAGAACAGTGAGTATGCACCCCATGATCTGTTTATATCAGTTAGATGTTCATGGCCTTGTGAACCAACAAACGTATCAGGTTGTTCCTAGCAACGTATTCATAGTTGCTAAAATTGGAAAGATCCTAACTAACCATCAGGAGGACAAATCAATTTTGGTCATATTACACTTCAGAATACTACTATACAATGAGAAAGAGATCCCACCATATGCAATAACCTGTAAATCTATAGAATAATGTTGAGTAAAAGAAATTGTATATGAGGAGGCTGGAGAGATGGCTCCGTGGTTAAGAGCATTGCCTGCTCTTCCAAAGGTCCTGAGTTCAATTCCCGGCAACCACATGGTAGCTCACAACCATCTGTAATGAGGTCTGGTGCCCTCTTCTGGCCTGCAGGTATACACACAGACAGAATATTGTATACATAATAAATAAATAAATAAATAAATATTTAAAAAAAAGAAATTGTATATGAGAGTATACATGGTACTGGGAGGTAATTCAGTTAGTAAAGTGTTTGGCATTCAGGTCAGAGGACCTAAATTCAGATCCCCAGCACCCACATGCAAAGCTGGGCATGACAGTACACACCTGTGGGTGATGGAAATAGGAAGATCACCGGCTTATTGGCTGTTCGGTCTAGGTCTGGCCCAGTCAAACTAGACTGGGGAGAGACCCTGTCACAAGTAGTAAGGTGGAAAGCAACTGGGGAAGGCACCACATGTACAGGCTCCTGTACACTCATGAAATTATATGCTCTAGTTTCATTGATATGTTTTGTATAATTTGTTTTCCAGATGGCATCTTGCCATTTTGCCCAGGCTGATGCATCGCTAGCCTCAGCCTTGGGAGCCGCTAGAACTGTAGCACAGCCTGTTCGCCTGCTGCAATCATGTACTTCAGTGTTCTGGGCTCCTTCTTTCTTTTCTCAATTGCCTGCCTTCTTCTCCATCTTAAGATTGCCTTTTTAAAAACCAGACCTTGTCTTTCTTACAGAGGTAGCTGAAGAGCTTGGGAGAGCTGCCTCCTCCTCATCTGTGGTTCCATACCTGCCTCGATTACCTCTACTTCCTTCCAAGACTCGGACTCTGAAGAAGCAGGGGGAGAACAAAGAGAACTTAGATGGGGGCCTTGATGCCTCCGAGAGCCTGGCCTCCAGCTCAGCACCAGGTAGGAGAGGTCAAAACAGAAAGTGCATGCCTGAAGAACCAGGGGCCATGATGGGCCTTGGCCCTGCCCTGCCAGTATGGGCAGCCCTGTCCATCCAACAGAGCTGCTACCAGCTCTGTTTTCTCAGCCCCTGGCTCCCAGAGAGTTACCCAGATAGGTGATGGCAGATGCATCTGTATTGTAGAGAAGGGATGAAGACAGAATGAATAGCACATGTCACTTTAATATCCACACCACAATTGGACACTAGTCACTGAAACTGATCATGTATTTATTAGTTTCCTATGTAATGCCAGCATCTGATGTTTAATAAATGCAAATAGAACTTTTCTAACTTAATCATGCTTACTGGCTCACCTTTGTCTTTCTTGTTATTGATTGGCCATTTCTCAGCAGGGTTCATTAGAAGTGCACAGGCCTCCAGCGGGTCCCCAGCTCTGCCTCGAAAACAAAGAGATAAGTCACCTAGCAGCCTCTTAGAAGATGCCAAAGAGACATGCTTCACCAGGGATAGGAAGGGAGGCTTCTTCAGCTCCTTCATGAAAAAGAGAAATGCTCCCACACCCCCTAAGCGCAGCAGCTCTTTTCGCGAAATGGAAAACCAGCCACACAAGAAATATGAACTCACGGGTAACTTCTCATCTGTTGCTTCTCTACAGCATGCTGATGGGTTCTCTTTCACTCCCGGCCAGCAAGAGTCGAATCTGGTGCCAGCCAAGTGCTATGGGGGGAGCTTTGCACAGAGGAACCTCTGTAATGATGACAGTGGTGGGGGCGGGGGCAGTGGCACTGCTGGGGGTGGGTGGTCTGGCATCACAGGCTTCTTTACACCTCGCTTAATCAAAAAGACACTGGGCTTACGAGCAGGTAAACCCACAGCCAGTGATGACACTTCCAAGCCTTTTCCAAGGTCAAACTCTACATCTTCCATGTCCTCAGGGCTTCCAGAGCAGGATAGGATGGCAATGACCCTTCCCAGGAACTGCCAGAGGTCCAAACTCCAGCTGGAAAGGACAGTGTCCACCTCTTCTCAGCAAGAAGAGAATGTGGACAGGGCTAATGACATGCTTCCAAAAAAATCTGAGGAAGGTGCCGCTCCAGCCAGGGAGAGACCAAAAGCCAAACTATTGCCCAGAGGAGCCACAGCCCTTCCCCTGAGAGCCCCTGATCCGGCCATCACAGAGAGTGACTCTCCAGGGGTAGGGGTGGCTGGAGTGGCAGCTGCCCCCAAAGGCAAGGAAAGAAATGGTGGGACGCGACTTGGAGTCGCTGGAGGCCCAGAGGATGGAGAGCAGCCAGGCTGGTCTTCTCCGGCCAAGGCTGTAGCTGTCCTCCCAACCACCCACAACCACAAAGTGCCAGTCCTTATATCACCCACTCTGAAACACACTCCAGCGGATGTGCAGCTCATTGGCACAGACTCTCAGGGGAATAAATTCAAGCTCTTATCTGAGCATCAGGTCACATCCTCTGGAGACAAGGACCGACCCCGACGGGTAAAACCAAAGTGTGCCCCACCCCCACCACCAGTGATGAGACTACTGCAGCATCCATCCACATGCTCAGACCCCGAGGAAGAGCCAGCTGCCCCACCTGCAGGACAGCCTACTCCAGAAACCCAGGAGGGAGGAAAAAAGGCAGCTCCAGGGTCCGTGCCCAGTAGTGGGAAACCTGGGAGGCCAGTGATGCCCCCGCCTCAAGTGCCTTTGCCCACATCTTCCATCTCGCCAGCCAAAATGGCCAATGGCACAGCAGGTACTAAGGTGGCCCTGAGAAAAACCAAACAGGCAGTGGAGAAAATCTCAGCTGACAAAATCAGCAAAGAGGCCCTGCTGGAGTGTGCCGACCTACTGTCCAGTGCAATCACGGAACCTGTGCCCAACAGCCAACTGGTGGACACTGGGCACCAGCTGCTTGACTACTGCTCAGGGTACGTGGACTGCATCCCTCAGACTCGCAACAAATTTGCCTTCCGAGAGGCTGTGAGCAAACTGGAACTTAGCCTACAGGAGCTGCAGGTGTCTTCCACAGCTGCTGGTGTGCCTGGGACAAACCCTGTCCTTAATAACTTATTGTCGTGTGTACAGGAAATTAGTGATGTGGTGCAGAGGTAGCCATTGTCAGCCTGGTGGGAAATGCACACGTATCTGAGGGGAGAGGGAAAGGGACTCGTTTTCCTGTGTTCTTGTTTTTAAAAAGTGACAGACTGATACTTGAGTGTGTTTATGTGAAGTACCTCAGATCCCTGAATTCTCACGTTTACAGGTTCATCTCATAATAGCAAAGGAAGTCACAGAAATAGATAAGTCAGTTTGGTAGAGCAGGGAAGTGCGGACAGAGTTGGAACCTGCGCTGGAAAGTAAGGGAGCATATGTCATACGAAAGTGTAGCCCCTCTCTAGCCGGAACAGCCTGTGCGCTCCAGTGGGCTGCTGGCAGTTGTTCTGTATCATGAAGCAGGCCTTGACCTGGCATGTCCTGGGGTGATTGTGCTTCAGCTCACCATGCAGATTCAGGAACAGGAGAAAGCCAAGCAAGGGATGTAGCAGGAGTTTTTACTCAAGGCTGTCAGAAGTGGCTCCCATGGGTCATTGCTGCTGTAGCAAGAACTGCAAATTAGATTGCTAGAATACTCAGCTGGTAAGCGTGGCCCTCTGTCTGCTTTTGCCCTCTTTACCTTGGGTGTATTAGTTGGTACAAGAAGTACAGAATTGGAGGGACATTTAGGCAGGTTGACACCTAAAACTGATGACGACTAGCAGTCACCCCTTCCACTCTTCTAGCATGTTACTTCCTAATGGACCAGTATCCACTTGCTGCTTCTTGGTGGCTGTCTGTAAACCATGGACATGGGGGGTGGGTCTTAGTGGTTCTTCTCTGTCCCTTGCTGGGCAAGCTGTCTGTCCTTATTTCTGGCAGCATTCAGGGCATTACCCAGCATCAATGTCAAAAGTAGTGGGCACTACAGGTTCTCATCGAGGAGAGATGAGACAAAATGGCCACTTGAGCAGCTATAAATATTCTTTTTTTAGATTAAAATACCAAGGAGTTACAGTACCTTTTTGATGCTGGCTGAGCCCAGAGGCGTGAGGCTGAGAAGAGAACCTTTCCCTGCCCATGACACCCTGCACTAACCCGGTGACAGTGGAGAAGGCCTCTTCACTAAGGCTTGCCTCCGCAGTCTTCCATGTTCTTTCTCTGCTCACATAGCACACTACCCCCTCGTCGCACTTGATGTTGATGGAGTTTGTGTTGGGAATATAGTTTTATTTATTTTGTTCTTTCACCTCTATTTTAAGAGTGCATTATAGGAGTGGGTTATTTTCAGGGAGCACCAATTAGACTTAGAAACCTAAGGGTTTAACCTGCAAATAGGATTTGCCTTTGAAAAATAGGCATTTCCTGTCCCTAAATTACAGGTATGGAAGCTAATAGGGTAACATGGATTAAAAACTTAGTAGGCAATATATTGTTGATGTTTTTGGTGCTGGGTCTAATTCCAGTTTTGTTTTGTGTTGTGTTGTGTTGTTTTTTTAACTTTGTGTACACACCCCTATCATTCCCCAAAGAGAACCCAATACAAAATATCTTTTTTTTTCTTCTCTCAGAGTATTAATGCAGGAAGATGGGAACTCACTAAGCAGTGTTTTCTTCCTGATCGTCATCGATCACTGTCAGGTCACCGCCCATCTTTGGGTCTATTAATTGAAGGCACTAGCCCAGATTCTCGAGAGTGTTTTCAGACTAATCTGCAGCTCCCTTTGAGAGCCTCTCTGGAGAGCTCTTAGTGTGGGTACATTGGGTCACTTTTCATTCTCCGCTGATTCTCAAATGAGAAACTTTAGAACTGCTATGCTTACAGTAATCGGACCAGAATCCTAAAAGGGAAACTATTTCAGGTTGCATTTGGCATGCTTGACCAAGGAAGAAATGTAGTTTTCATTAGAAAGGGTATTTGGATACTTATCACTGCTGCTCCAGAGAAGGCTCAGGGTAAGAGAAGGTCTGGAGTGGAGGAGACAGCTCCTACAGGTGTCAGTGTGTTCCCACGGCTGCAGTCAGGGCAGCTAGGGATCAGGTTAATGCCCTTGTAGTAGTTGGAAGAGAATTTTCCCACCTCCTCCTTCACCACTCCCCACGATTGTATGCACCCGTATACTTGAATCTGTTTTAGCAGTTAGCCTCGTATAGATGGGGAGGAGAAAGCTAAAATTTGAGGCCGTTATTAATGCTGCTTTTAAAGTTCATCCCTGCCATAATGGGATATCATAAGAGATAGTTGTTTTCAGATTTGGGTCTTGTTTTGTTTTGTTTGTTTGTGTGTTTTGTTGGATAGTTGGTTTTCCCTTGAGAGTTCTGAAAACAGGTTTGGAGAAACACTACTGAGTATCTCAGCTCCCTGCTCTTCTCAGTCTGAGGGGCTGAGGGCAGCACCGATTCTGTCCTGCAGAGTGGGTCATCCCTGAGTCCGCGAGCTGAACTGACTTTCTCGGCACTGCCACGAGTAGCATTGACTGTTGTAGCACACGCCCCATGATGCATGAACTGTGTAGCTTTCAGGGACTAGGCCTCAGGTCACAGAGGCCCTGTCAACTTGCTATGGAAGAATGATTTAGGTTTTTCCTTTTATATACCTGCAAGGGACCAGCTTAAAAACAGCAGATTTGAAGGTTTGAATCTAAAGCAGAGAAAACTGCTTTTAGAAATTAAAAATGTTACTTTACTATATGTGGCCTGAAAACAGCAGATGGCAGGTCCTAAAGTCGTTTGATCTATGCATGTCTTGCCACAACTTCATCCCTTTATGCAAAGTCTTGTGGATTCAGTTGGGTCCCCACCTTCATGTTGCATTTTGTAGTGAATATATCCTAATTGTGCTTATAGGAAGCTTTTTTTTTTTTAAAGCTTTGGCTACAATTATATCTCACATTTTCAGGTGTTTTCTATCATTACATTCAGAAAGAGAAACCTTAAAATAGGCTTTTCTTAAAAGATGTGTTTTGTAGTAAATTGGACTGAATTGAACATGGTACACCAAACTAGATCTCTCTAGGGAGAAACTGATTGGGTCATTGCAGGATGGCCTCTGTGTAAGGTCATCATATAGTGGAGACTAGTTTCCAGCAGCATTGCCAGGTCTCAGTTAGAAATGTTCTAACACTGTTGACAAACTGACTAATTAAACTGTTTCTTGGCATAATGAAGACTGGGTTTTTGAATTTAGGGGATCCAGCAACGCCAGTAGTATAAGGTGATGTTTGTAGACTAGGTAGCTCAGGTACCCGGTACACACTCCATAAATGTTGACTGATAGTGTTCACTCCTAACCCAGGAGCACGCAATAGTCCTATAGAGGGTTTTAAAGGGAACCTCATGAACTCGCCCCATTCTACACTGTAATTCCTGGTGGACTGAGAGAGTAGCTAGTATGTTTCCCAAGAACTTCTCCAGGTTTCAAACACCACTGGCTGAACAGAACACTCTAGGCCCTTTTCTTTGCAGAAGAAGGACCTGGAGAGGATGGCTGTCACTAGTCGGTTATCTTCGAGCAGTTAGTGGCAGAGCCGAGGGGAGAATTCAGGAGTCCTGACACTGGTGGTTCTCCACCACTCCTGCTGCCTTGTGAGGTGCTCAGCTAGACAATCAGTATCCATGGTGCTGCACGCTTGTAAAGCACAGGCTCTGGCGGGCCCTGGCGGTGACAGTGTAGCCAAACAAGCCTTTAGTAGAATTCGGTTATGAAACCAACATAGCCCTGTTCTTCTAGACCTCAGCCACACAAAAATCTGCACTTCATAGCTAAAAATACCTAAACCTGAGTTATTTCAAAACAAAAAAAGAACAAAACCAGTCTTACATTCCTTTTTGTTCAAAAAGAAATCTATTGTTGTGTCATTTTAATGACTGAGGCATAATGGGAAAGCACTTGAGAAGTAGATGCGATCCGACTATGAAGCTGGATTGTGATTTCTGTAGAGGATGGCCTGACCTGGACCTGCAGCTAGAGACTTTCCTCTGGAGTTCGCTACAGAGTCACATATGAAACTGCTCATAGTTTAGAGCTGGGAACGTCAGCAAACTGGGGACCAGTTGTTTGGTTTTGTTCTCGTTGTTAAGAACTAGTAAAGTAGTGGCACGTAATCCTGGCAGTGAAGGAGCTGAGGCAAGAGAATCTCCAGATCCACATCAGCCTGGGCCACAGAATAAGACTCAAGAGGAGTGGAGGTTTGTCCCTCTGGAGCCCAGCAGCTTGTCTGGGCCTGGATTGAAAGACCGAAGGCCCTCTTTCTTTAGAGCAGTCATCTGGTATGCGCTCAGCTCTTACGTCCTTGCTGTGGTGAGAGCAGACTCATTTCCTGTTCATGTTGACAGTATCTTTTAAAACTAATATCTTGGCGGAGGGAGGTAGAGAACTGATGTACTTGGAGAATTTCCAGAATTTCTCTACCAGTTATAAATGACATTGACATTGATCATCTCTCCTTTAAAAAAGGTAGCTGAGCTTACCTCACCTATTAGATAATCGTATGTGCAGGTAAATCATGTGGAGGTAGGCAGCTTACATCTAGATGCACTCTACTCTAACCTCCCTGAATTTGTAGTAATCGTGTGGAGGTGACTTTTCTGACCTCCCCATATTTGTCTATCTTTGCCAGTGCTATCATTGTCATCATTAGGCTGTGTCTTCAGGGGAGTCGGTACTGGGTTGATAGTCTTTATTTCTGTTCTTAGCGACCTGTTTCATCCTCTTGCATGCATTAATTGCTTCACCGGGATCTGGGATCCATCTTTACACCCTCAGCATCTGCTGTGGCCAGTAACTGTTACATCCACTATCAGCTGCCTTAGCTTCGTCAGGTAGCCATCCAGGTCTTTGAAAATTCCTGTTTGAGTTTTATAGGCATGCAGGAGCCTAGAGCAAGTCAGTTCCAAGGGGATCTGTGCACAGACTGGCCAAGGCAGCCCAAGAGTGCCCATGGCTCCCATGTTGCTAGGATCGCCTCCCAGGTAGAGAGGCGTGGCCTCGGCATGCTTCTAAAACTTGGCCCACTCCTAATGTCTCGTGCATAGAGTTCCATTTTTCCAACTTAGGGGTCATAGTGCTTGGAGTACTGGTTGCTGTCCCCTGCTCTAGTCAGCACAGCACAGTGCCCCAACTTCACTGCTGTTGCCTGTGATCCTGCTAGTGAGGAGGCTGGCAGCTGACTGTTGTCTCCAGCTTGTCTTTGTAAGGCTGCTGATTTCCATGTCATGTGTGCGTCTCCATCTTGACTGAGTGTTCCATGATAACTCTTTTGTTTTGGACTAGGTCCCCACATGACCCGGGAGACCATGTGCTGTGCCCTGGATAAGATCTGGGGCAGTTTGTCTTGATTAGAAGCTGACAGAGTGGCAGAGGCCATGCTCAGAGTTGTGCCTTCAAGGATGGCTTCCTGAGCATTGCTGGGAGAAATACTTGACTGCATCAGGACTCACAGTCCTTCCTTGTCAGTTTAGAAGATCCCTCCTCCCCAGTCAAAATGCCTCACCTTTCTCAGACCAGCTGAGGGACCCACCCTCCCTCCACACACACCTCCTTGCTCCATGCATACCTGTAAATCAAACTATTTACCCCTCCTAGATGATAATATTCTCTATTTCCCTGGTGCTGCACAACCTGAACACAGTAGTGGAACTTGATTAGCCAGAGAGGACAGGTCCTGCAGACCTGCTCCATCCAAGGGGAAGTATGGCCACTTAACCTTCAGACGCTAGCATCTTCAGGGGAGAATGGGGCTGTTCTGTCAGTCCTCTGCTCTTCCCAGGGTACGGGTCCTAATCCCTTAGGACATGGGGGAGGCATTGTCAAATGCCAACAAGTTAGTAAAAAAGAGATACAGAGAGTTTTGTGGGTGGAACTTGCTTGCCTTGTTTCTGTGGCCCTGAATAGGAGTTGAACATCTTGTTTTTAGGGACCATACAATTTAGTGGCATGTGGGACTTAAATATTTCACATTCATAGGTTCTTAATTTTCATCAGTTGTAAGTTCTTTGTTGAATCAGGGCTGCAGTGCTTCAGGGTCCTTAGTTCCCTACATTATGCTTGGTGTTCTTAAGACCCGTGCTGTCTGTATTGGGAATGGCAAGAATGCGGATGGTCGGGGCCACATGAACAGCATTCTTCCATCTGACGGCCAGCTTCCACTATACCACTTACACTCCATCATGAGAAGCCTTTGCTGAGACCTGAAGAAAGGACCTTTCAGGAAAATGAGTATTCAGAAACTAAAGAGAAGGGCAGGTACTCTCCACAGCTCCTGCTTCCCTCTCTCTGAGGGCAGAAGCAGTAGTGTGGTGAGCGTGCTGCCCTGATCAGCTCCCTGAGCACACTGCACTCTGAAAGCCTTCCTTGGAACCCTGCACTTTCTCTCCCTCACAATCAGATTCTGTAGTGACTATCAGTGGAGAAACCCCAATTTTGTGCTTGCTTGGTAAAAGTAAATTTGAACATTTTATGGTGGTTGATAGAACTTTGTCCTAAATTTTGCTAATTCAGACTCTTTAAAACCCTAATGTTTATACCAAAGGTTACACTGCAGACCTGGGTGGTACACAGAGGGCGAAGCCCACAGTGGGCACTGTATGCATTGCTAAGGGGACACAGTGCCCAGTGAGACCATGTGGGATTTAGCTAAAACATGTCAGTCATGGGTCACACTACCACTGTTGTCAAGTATTTGTTCTTAATTGTTACTGTAATATATTTTCGATTGTTTTTCTAATTTAATTCTCTCACTCTGTTGTCTGACTGTGAACTGCTAACAGTGTTAAACTTGATGTAAATAAATGATGCCCTTGGCAGGGACTGCTTCCTGTCGTATCTCACATGGTTTGCAAGTTGTGTTTTGTTTTAAATAAAGGTTGAAGTATTTTATCGGCAAAGTGGGCTTGAGTTGGAGTATTTCTCCCAGGATTTTAATTGAGAGGGCAGCTAAGCAGATCTTTATAGTTGTACAGTGGATGATCAGTGAGCATCCCTCTAATACATCCTTCTGGAGTGGGCTGTGATATGGATCCGCATCCTGTGATGAGTGTCGTGCGTACAGCACCTTCGGAGCCTGAGCTGGCTGACATCAGGTAGGTCATGTGTGGTTATGTGTCCAATGTGTATGGACTACACAGAGACTTGATTCTCTGAAAATCCATTCTGAACACAACTGCAAATATGTTCTTAGATTGTCTTGAGACATGTATTAAACAGAGTAAGTATAGATCCTCAAAGAGAGTATTCTTAAAATTATTTACCTCTTTTATTTTTTCATGCTTACAAGACAGGCATGTGTCCTTCCTAAGGTGGCCTCAAACTTGCCATGCAGCCAAAGATGAACTTAGATCCCCCCGCTGGGGTTGTTGTCGTATGCCACCACACTGTTCATATGGGTGCTGGCAGTTGAACCCAGGACTTCATACATGATAAGCACTCTTAGCAACTGACCCACATTTCCAGGTCCCAATACCTTTTTGACACATTTGTACACATTCATCGAGGACAGTGTGGCCAGCGGCTATCATGACACAGTCAGGTAAGAACTCGGTCGTGGTGTTCGCCTGCAGAGTGTTTCAGAAGAGCTAACAGTGAAGATTCTGAATGTTCTCACCACAACGAAATCTGGTCATGGATATTCTAAATAGCTGATTTGGTTACTGCAGTGTGCGCATGTCTAGAAGCAGCGGTGTTTCCCTGTCAGCCCTCCTGTCCTCCGCATGATGAGCTCCCTGAGACAGCACGAGTGGGGTCAGACAGCGTTGACCTGACTTATTCCGAGCAACACGTCTTACACATTGATCCATGTCACATGACTCTCCCCTCTGTGTGTGCATCCACGTCCAGGACCCCATCATCTACTGATGGACTCAGGCTGCTTCTGTCTCACGCCTCAGCACAGAGCTGCCCTGAACACGCGCTCCGGTGTCTGTCTTACATGACTCCATTTCTCTTCACTCCCTGTAGTGGGATTTGTGTTCATATTTCAGCATTCCCAAAATTCTGTGTACACTGGAATGTTATACATTGTAGCATATTTAAAGCTGTTGGTGTATTTTAAATAAATTTTAATGTCTATAAAATACTTGAGTATCGTGATGTTTTAAATCATTGTATACACTGTATAATGTTGAAATTTTGTTAAACATCACTTCCTCGTATTCATTCCTAGTTTTTTATTTTGAAAATAGTCTCACTACATTGTCCTGACTGACCTTATCCTTGCTGTGTAGACCAGGCTGGCTTTGAACCCTAATCGTCCTCTGAATGATGAAATTACAGGTATGGGCCACTATGCCCAGCCTCAAACCCTTCTAGCCAGTTATTTAAGTGTGCGGTACCCTCAGAGGCCAGAAGGATTCCCTCTGTTTTCTTAGGGTAATTTTATAGTTTCAGATTATACATTTTTATATTTAACTCAAATTTTGTTGTTTTAGCTGAGATTTTTTAAAGCTTTTTGTTTTTCCTTTTTGTAGTACTAGGGACCACATAGGCTAGGAAGATATCACTGAGATATATCTCTAGTCCTTGGTCTTTTTTTTTTTTTTTTTTTTTTTTTTTTTCTTTTTCGAGACAGGGTTTCTCTGTGGCTTTGGAGCCTACCCTGGAGCTCGCTCTGTAGACCAGGCTGGTCTCGAACTCACAGAGATTCCTTGGTCTTTTGAGTAGGCTGACCTTGAGTTTTGAATCCTACACCTCTGCCTTCTCAGTGCTGGGGTTACAGATGTGCACCTTTGTGCCAAGCTATACTTAATGCTTTGCATGACTACTGTACCATTTCCATAGTGTCTGTGCTGGTTTACCTTCTCCCCAGGAGTGTCTTAAAGGTCCTTTCCGTAGCCTCCCTAGGGGTTGTTGTCTTAATTTTCCGATTGGGGTAAGGTGTGTCCTCTGAGTTAATTATGGTTCCTCTGGAGGGAAGACAGGAGCTCAGGCAGCTTAGATTGACAAGCCCCTTCCTCTAGGCTACCTGAGCACTCAGTTGCTGCAAACGGGAGAGACTGGTAGAGTTGCTTACACGTTGAGCAGAGCGCTCCAGGGCTGTAGCTTTCTGAGTTACACCCGTGCTAGGATAGGCTTTCTGGTGATGTAGCACCTGAAAATCGCCCAAGTTTCTGTACATCACCCCTAAACTCATTGATTCACCAAGGTAGACTTGGATGGAACCATCCCTCTGGTTCGGCACTGGTGCCCTGTCAGAGGTGAACAGAAGTTTGTTCATGTCGTCTTTATCAGGAAAAGCTGCATGATACATGCACAGTTCGATTAACTTTTCTGTTCCATAGGATGAATACTTGGCTGTTGCTTTTGTCTCTCTTCTAAGACTTTAAAAAAAAAAGATTATGTGCCATAAGTGTTTTGTCTGCATGTATGCCTGCATCACATGCATGCCTGTTCCCACAGGCCCAGAATAAAGTGTTGGGTCCCCTGGGACTGGAGTTAGAGGTAATAGTGAGCCATCTTGTAGGTGCTGGGAACTGAACAAGTATTCTTCATCACTGAATTATCTCTTCCAGCTCACTTGTCTTTTGAAGAGCATCTATTGTCTTCAAACTGTTGTTGAAGTTTTAATGGGCTTATTTGTTGAGCTCTTTGAGCTCCTTCTGTATTCTGGAGAATAACTCAGTGTCACTAACATAGGTTGTCTCTTCCTGATGGTTTATTTGGCCTTTGGGCTTTTTAGTTTGATGAAATCCTTTTGTCATTTATTGCTACTTTACTGCTTTGCTACTGGGATCTTTTCCAAAAAAACCATTGCCTGTACCAAGGTCTTCAAACATTTGTGTCCTAGTTTCAGGTTTTACATGTAAATCTTTAATCTATTTTGAATTGGTTTTATATGTGGTGAGAGCTAAGATCTACATACACACAGCCACATTACCCAAAACCACTTATTACAGAGACTACCCTTCTTCTGTTGCACTTTCTTGATACTATTGTAAAAAGTCTGTTGGCCTGAAGTGCATATATTGTATTTCTCTGCATTCTATTTCATTGGTGTGTGTTTATGTCGGTACCACGATGTTTTGGTTCCATACTTTGTAGTAACTTTCAAGTTAGGTAATACAATACAGCTGTGTCCTTTTTGTTTGAATTCCTTTGGCTACTTAAGGATTTTGTAGTTTCTTAAAAATTTTGAAATCGTTTTCCTATTTGTGTGAAAAATGTCATCTTAGGGTTTCTGCAGCTGCGAGGAGACACCATGACCGTAACAACTCTTACAAAGGAAAACATTTAAGCAGGATGACAGCGTAATGGTTTCAGTGGTAAGTCCATCACCGTCGTCATCAGGAGCATGGTGGCATGCAGGCAGAGACGTGATGGAGCTGAGAGTGCTACTTCTGGAAGGAAACGGAAAGTTGGCTGAAATACTGGGCGGTATCTTGAGCAAAGGAAATCACTTCCTCCAATAAGGCCACACCACCTAACAGTGCCACTCCCTATGAAAATATGGGGGCCAATTACATTCAGACTACCAAAGATGTCTTGATAGGCATTTCATTGAATCTGGATCACTTTGGCATTGTGGACATTTTATGCTATTAAATCTGCTAGCTGATAATCATGAGTGCTCTTTTAGTTTTCAGTGTAGGCTATTTTACTTCCTTGGTTACGTTTATTCCTAAGTATTTTATTATAATTGTAAATAAGTTTGTCTTTTTGATTTTCTTTTTCAGATAATTGGCTGTTAATGTATACAAACTACTTTTTTTAAAATCCTCCTGCCCACACATAAGTGCTAGAATTAACAGATAAGCAAGCTCATCATTCTTACCAGTTGATTTGATTTTTTTGTTTTGTTTTGTGATTTGAGACTGGGTTTCTCTGTTTAACAGCCCCGGCTGTCCTGGAACTCATTTTGTAGACTAGGCTGGCCTAGAACTCAGAGGTCTGCCTACCTATGCTGGGATCAAAGGCATGCGCCATGTTGCTTTTTTTTTTTTTTTTAATTGTATACAGTATTCTCAGTACTCTGTCTGCAGGCCAGAATAGGGCACCAGATTTCATTGCAGATGGTTGTGAGCCACCATGTAGTTGCTGGAATTGAACTCTGGACCTTTGGAAGAGCAGGCAGTGCTCTTAACCACTAAGCCATCTCTCTAGCCCCACCATGTTGTTTTTTTTTAATAGCAGGGTTTTTTTTTAAAGATTTATTTATTATGTATACAATATTCTGCTTGCATGTATCCCTGTGGGACAGAAGAGGGCATCAGATCTCATTACAGATAGTTATGAGCCCACCATGTGGTCGCTGGGAATTGAACTCAGGACCTCTGGAAGAACAGCCAGTGCTCTTGACCTCTGAGCCATTTCACCAGCGCCCCCACCACGTTGCTTTTATACTTGATTTTTTGAGGGTGTTTTTTTTTTAAACATTAAGAGGTTTTTCAATTGGTTTTTCTGCATCTATTGAAATGATCATATAGTTTGTACCTTTCATTCTGCTAATATGATAGATCATTTAGTCATTTACAGAGATTGAACCATCCTTGTATACCTGTAAAGAATTCCTTTTGGTCATAGTGAGTGATCTTTTTGTTGTGATGTTGTTTTAGACTGTATGGTTTTATTTATTTATTTATTTATTTTGTTTGTTTGTTTGTTTTTCGAGACAGGGTTTCTCTGTGGCTTTGGAGCCTGTCCTGGAACTAGCTCTGTAGACCAGGCTGGTCTCGAACTCACAAAGATCCGCCTGCCTCTGCCTCCTGAGTGCTGGGATTAAAGGCGTGCGCCACCATGGCCCGGCCTAGGCTGTATGTTTTGTTAAGGATTTTTGCATCTGTGTTCAGCAGGGATGTTGGCCTATAGATTTTTGGGTTTGGCGTGGGGTTTTATTGTTTTTATTTTATATCCTTGTCTGATTTTGCTATCAAGGTAATACCTCATGGAATGAGTTTGGTAGTATTCCTTCAATTTTGGGGTAGTTTCAATAGAATTGGTATTAGTGTTTGTTGTTTAATAAAACCAACCTTAAACTCTTAACCCTCTTTTCCCAATCTCCTTGGTGCTGGGATTACTACTGAGTTTCACCACATTCAGATTTATTTGAGAATGGGTTTCTCAGCACAGCTCTGGCTATCCTGGAACTTGCTGTGTAGACTAGGCTGGCCTTGAACTCAGAGATCCAGCTGACTCTGGATTAAAAGGCTCGTGTCACTATGCTCTTCTCAGACTTTAACTCTATTAAGGTAGATTTGAATCTACTAAGGTAGATTTCAGCATGAAGCTTCTCTTTGATTTAAGACTTAAAAAAAATACTTGTTAAAAGTCTGTTTGGGTTATTTCCTCATGACTTAATCTTGGTAGGTTTTCAACATACAGGAATTTGTCTATTCTACATAATCTAGGTTGTTGGTGTATAATAAGTTTTTTTGAATCCTTTGTATTTCTATGTTTTGTTTTGTTTTTTTTTGTTGTTGTTTTTTGTTTTTGTTTTTTTGGTTTTTTTTGGTTTTTCGAGATGGCTTTGGAGCCTGTCCTGGAACTAGCTCTGTAGACCAGGCTGGTCTTGTGTCATGTCTGCAGGCCAGAAGAGGGCACCAGACCTCATCAGATGGTTGTGAGCCACCATGTGGTTGCCTGGAATTGAACTCAGGACCTTTGGAAGAGCAGGCAATGCTCTTAACCACGGAGCCATCTCTCCAGCCCCTGTATTTCTTTGTTACCAGTAGTAATATCCTCCTTTCTATGGATTATTTCTCTTTCCCCACCCACCCTTTCTCTTAGCTGGTAAAGGTCATGTTTATATTTCAGATATGAAGGAAGAACTAGCAGCCTTTTCACTGATCCCTAGTTTTGCTTTAGTTTTTAGCATCCAATCCAATGTCTTTATTTAGAAACAAGGTCTTGGGCCTAGGGATCAGCAAAGTGCTTGCCTAATGTGCAAGAAACCCTGAGTCTGAGCCCAGCACCAAATAAATCCAGGTGTACTGGCACATGCCTGTAGTTACAGCACTAGGAAGATGTTGGCAAAACAGTCAAGGTCATTTTGGGATTACAGACCAGTTTTTGCTGTATGAGACATTGTCTCAAAAAGACAAATATCAAGACAAGGTCTTCAGTATATAGCCCCAGCCAGTCTCAAACTCACTAGACAGCCCAGGTTTTTTAGGCTTGGCAGCCTCCTGCCTCAGCTTTCCAAGTGCTAGAATTACAGGTGTGCTACCATCCTTGCTATTTCATTTCCATGGTTTTCCACTGCGATGTTTGTTAGTGTGCCAATTGTGGGCACAGTGCTTGCTACGCTGAGATGTGTATATTGGTGTCATTCCTCAGAGGTCTCGTCTCAAGAACTCAGGATTCTCCAACTTAATCTCTCCACTGCTCTGTTGTTCTAGAGTGTTTCTGGAGGTTTCTGCAGCCTCTCCTCTGCATTTCCACTTGTATGCCCTTGTGATCATGAGGTACTTCTAGGATTCTAGTTCTGTTAGGTTAGTACGACCTGTTGAGCACTGTCAACATGGCCTGGCCTGTGGGGGAGAAACCTGTGTCATGGCTTTGTTGCAGCCCCAGCTGTCTTCCTGCTCTTCTTCCTAAATAGGGATGATAGGCATCGCAACACCTGACTTGAACAAGAAATCTACTTTTTACTGGGCATTTCATGTAGTCTGAATTGTTGATCTCCTAAACTTTGTGAGCTGCTGTTGGCTGTTGGAGATCCCGCTTTCAAGCCATGCTGCTTTACATGCTGGACTCAGTACTCCCTACGCTAAAGCAGGCGAGTACCCAGTCACTAGGTCTCAGTAAGAAAGGAGGCCAACATTAGAAAAATACAAAATTTAATCTACACATAGTACATTCTGTAGCAAGGCCCCTAATTAAAAAAAAAGTTTTCGGTCTAAACATGCCTTAGCTACACACCCGTGGTGTGGACCTCTTGAGCTCTCTCCCGTATTGGCCTACTCAGTGCTGGGATCACAGGTGCGTGCCCCCACGTCACTGGCATGTTTTGAAAGCATGTGGTTTTCCCTTTACCTAAGGCCCCCTTTGCTGTTCTGCTCGCACACAGAAGCTGGCCCACGCCTACAGACTGGATGGAGCACACTCCCGCTGAGCCACAGATCTTCCATCCTTCCATGTTCTGTAGCCCAAGAATCCTGCGACCACAGACTGCGGAGAGCTGCGGCGCCAGCAGACTGCAGGGGAGTTCTGGGGACCCTTTGGCACCTGGACTTCCCGATGGCTTTTTGACTAACTGGCCTGCATTCTAGAGTATCTAGAAGGTAGGTCTTTAAGGCACCAAGTGGTTTTCAGGTCTGCCTCCTGCACTAGCTGGAGCAGTGGCGTGGGACGCTGGGGTGCCTGGCAGATCCAGTGAGCACAGTGAGTCACTTTCAAGGGAGGAAGAGGTTGATTCTCTGGGAAATGGATTTGCAGCCCTGGGAGGAGAAAAGCTGCTCCTCCTCGGGGACATACGTCATCATCTTGGCGATTTCATCCAGGGCCTCTTCTGTGTACAGGAGGTCCTGGCTCAGGAAGGCGTCCCGGACACACAGCCGCACATGGCAGTACTCCAATGGCAGGAAGGGGACGAAGAAGTCAATAAGGTTTTCCTTCACAAGACGGCTGGAACCAAAGCTACTGTCTGAAACCAAGACCCAAAGTTACATGGAGACTAGAGACTTACGGTGTCCCCCAAATTGAGACCTGGCCAAGATCTAGTTTCCCATGATGCTCTAGGAGTGCTGTCGGCAGTAGGTGCCAAGAGCTGTGTAGTTGTGGCTGCTTTAGGCACAGAAGCATGGTGAGTGTGGCTGGGCACGACCACCAGGACTGTGGCTTCATCTGGGCAGGAAACAGGTGAAGCCATCCTCCCTTTGGCTGGGGACTGATCTGCCAGACTGTGGGCATCAGAGACCATGGCTGTGCCTGGCTGTGCCAACGACCCTCGTAAGGGCATTTTCAGGGCAGGAGCTTAGGCTTCCTTTTTCTTGTGCTACCAGAAGCTGACAGTGTTGAGACTGTCCTGTGTCCTCCACCGTTCACCCCGCCCCATCTCGAATTTAGTATATACACTAACTGCTCCAGCTGTGTTGGTGCATACACTAACCGCTCCAGCTGTGTTGGTGCATACACTAACCGCTCCAGCTGTGGCTCCTGGCAAGGCCTGTGTATGTGACCTGGTCACTTACCTGTGGACGCCGTGATCTCAGCTTGAAGGAGGGTCTCCAAGTGCTGCATCGTAATTTCTTCCCTGGACCACCCAGCCTTAAGCAAACCCAGGACCTCTTTGTTGATGACACTGCCTCCAAGGTTACTGAAAGAAACAAGTGCCTGTTAGCAGTTGGTTCCCACACTCACTCCCACGGGTTACCTGACCGCATGGGAGGCTGCTCCAGGGGCAGAGCAGAAAGGCACTGCCCTGCTTCACCCCCATCCTGCCTCCCTTGCTCTTTTGGTAAACACTGGTGAATCTGCTCAGTTCAGGAAACACTCAAGTTCTGTGTGACCTACAAGTTAGATATGAATGAGAGTCTAGAACCATGTGGCTCCCATCAGGACACACACAGCTACTGCCAGACTCGGGGGAGGGTGTCTGGGCACAAGGATGCAGCAGAGGGCCGTGAGCTTCAAGGGTCAGCGGTAAGCATGAAAGCCAGGCCACGGCTACAGAGAAGGTGCCATGCAGCCCTGAGGATTTGGGGCTAGAAAGTAGGGTGGTGACTCTTGTTCACTTTATGTCCTCAGAAACCTGTTCTAGGTTATAGGGCATGGAGAAAAGGTAGAGGACAGGACCGGACTGGAGAGTCAGTTTAGAAAACACCATTAGAAGTCAGAGAGGTGGGATGGAGAGATGCTCAGAGGTTAAGTGCTGCTCTCCCAGAATTCCTGAGTTTAGTTCTTGGCAACCACATGGTGGCTCACAGTCATCTATGAGATCTGGTGCCCTCTTCTGGCATGCAAGCAGGCATGCAGACAGAACACTGTATAAGTAACAAATCTTTTTAAAAAGATTTATTTATTATGTATATAATATTCTGTCTGTGTGCATGTCTGCAGGCCAGAAGAGGGCACCAGACCTCTTTACAGATGGTTGTGAGCCACCATGTGGTTGCTGGGAATTGAACTCAGGACCTTTGGAAGAGAAGGCAATGTTCTTAACCACTGAGCCATCTCTCTAGCCCCCAACAAATAAATCTTAAGCAAAAAAAAAAAAAAGAGAGAGAGAGGAGGTGTCTGCCTGGGCTGCTTGCTGCAGCTTTCACAGAAGCGTGGAGCGAAGGCTTCTTTTGCACTGCCTGTGGTCTAAGGGTCAAGAATTACAGGGCTGAGCACAGGAAGACGGCTGCACACTGTGTAAGACAGGAGTGAATAGAAGACAAACCCAGGAAGCCACCACCTGAGGCACCTCTCCCTGTCCCAACTGAACCCTCACTCTTTCCCTTGCTTCTTCAGGCCACAGAATGAGGGATGTGGTGAGTGAAAAGAGCAGGGGAGGCAGGCGCAAGTCAAACCGTGGGGGTCTAGCATCTCCATTCCTCCTCACAAGGCTCAGAGTGAGTGCCCCATACCTCAGAAGAGTTCACTCAAAACCTCTTGCTCAGTTTGCATCTCAGCCCAGAAGAACACCAGCCGGCTTCTTAAACAGTTTCTGCACAATCACCTGCTCTGTCTGCAGCTTGCTTCTGAACTGCCTGAAGCCAGTCTCTTCCTCCCTCCGTGTTACTTACAGGTTGTACCTCTCACAGGACAAAGCCTAGGAAACCTTCAGGGCCCACCCAGCATCTTCACTCAGCAGGGCTGCATGCCAGAGCAGACCCCTGCCAGTTGCATGCTGAAGGGAACACAGTCACAAGCTCTGTCACCAACTGTGAACTCTTTCCTAAAGAACAGCGCTAGACTCAATCACGAATATCTTTGCACCTCAGTTTCTTCATTTGTAAAATGAGAAACTGGGCCCAGACAGTCTGGGGCCATTTGTCAGTGGACAGTAACAAACACCCACTGTGCACCTGCACACGTTGTGTTCATGGATAACTCACGTCCTTTCTGTTTGTACCCTGACAAGAATGCAAAGGAGAGCCATTTTGTAGTAATACAAGTGGCGGGGCTGCATCCCCAGCACCCAGGCCGCCTGCTAGCTTATGCCCGAAATAATTACACGGACACTGTATTCTTTTAAGCACTGCTTGGCCCATTTCTATCTAGCCTCTTCTAGGCTAACTCTCCCACCTGGACTAGCCCATTTCTAATAATCTATGTAGCCCACAAGGTGGCTTACTAGGGAGATTCTAGCCTACGTCCATCCTAGGTCAGAACTTCATTGCGTGTGCCTCAGAGAGCAGAGCTCTCACGTCGGCCCGGGAGAGGGGAGCATGGCGTCTCTCTCCAGAGAGCAGAGCTGTCGAGTCTGAGCTCACTTCCTCTTCCTCCCAGCATTCTGTTCTGTTTACTCCACCCACCTATGTTTTAACCTATGAGGGCCAAGCAGTTTCTTTATTGCTTAACCAATGAAATCAACAGATTCAACAGATTGATATGTGACACTCCCACATCACATTAGCAACCCTCTTCTGGGTGCATGAGAGGACAACAGTTCCAGTCCTGCCATGCGCCTCTGGAACCTTCTGCTGGCAGACACGGGCAGAAACCAACACTACTTTTCTGGTAACATATAGCAAGTGCCTGAATTCTTCTGGCCCGGGTAAGGGATGGGCTTTGGTTCCCCGATTGCTTCAACTGCTGCCTCTGAAGTCAAGCTTGAACAGCACCATCTGTGCTTCTAAAAACTCAGGACCTAAGTATGGACTCTAGGACAGACCTAAAATATCCCCCGGAGCCTAGTGGGAGCCAAAGTCCCCAGTAAGCAGAACCTGGAGAATGAAACCCTAGGTGGGAAGGGAACGAGGCAGGGATTCTGTAGGCGCATTCCACCTCAGCTTCAGGCGATTCTGCTGAGTTCTCATCGCTAGACTGCCCTCCACCCTGCCCCACCCCGGGCCTGGCTGCCTTCCTAGCTTACTGTCTGCCTGCTTTTATAGACAAAGCTTGCTCTTTCGCAAAATCTTGGCATGATAAAGTTATCCGTGATGGGCAAGCAAAGCCTCCTGGGCATCACCTACTCTGAGTGCCTTCAGGTGCCACAAAAGAGCTCACCTCAACAGCAGGTCTTGGGTTGTCTTTTCAGGTCTAAATTGAGGATTAAATTGACTGTGCTGGGGCTGGGAAGGGCTCAGTGGACAAAGGTATCCAGCAGCCCTGTGAAGAGCTGGCATGGCTGTGTGCACTTAGAACTTCACCTCTGGGGGCTCGCCCTGCCTCAAAAAGCAAGGTAGAGCCAAGTGTGATGGCATATGCCTTTACTCCTAGCACACTGGAGACAGATGTGTGTGTGGATCTGAGTTATAGGCCAGCCTAGTCTACATAGTGAGTTCTAGGTCAGCTGGGTGACATTGTGAGACAAACGAGAAAAATAAATAAAAGCAAACAAGGTAGAGAGTGTGATATTGGACATCCACTGTCAACCTCCACACTGCCAAGCACACACATGCAAGAATCCTTACCACAAAGGGGAGAGGAAGTGAAGTCCATTATAGAAATCAAGTCCAGAGTCTCAAATCTCAACACTATTCCCTCATAACTAGAATATCAGGCAATCTTGGGGCACCCTCAGGAGGGGTGGCTGTGGTTCTGCATGGTTGGAGACAGACTGGCAGAGTGGCCATGGCCTCTCCTTGGCAGCAGAGCTGTTGGAAACCACTGCTATGTCTCTTTAAGAGCTCCTGGGTAAGTGAACTCCCCAGAAGGCAAGCTCAGCTGCTATCAGTGGCATCTCCCAGCCCCACCTTTGCCCATGTGAACCCATACATGTGTGTGTATATAACTACGTGGCCTCAGACAGTCCACTGAGGTCAGGTCTGTAGGGGAAAGGGCAGGGCCATTGCCACCTGGTCAGTGACCAAATGTTTGCCTTGAAGTAGGAGGGTCACTGGGTCACTCTCTCAGCCCCTGAAAGAGTTTGCCAAGTCGTGAAGCAGCTGGGTAGGAGAGTCCGTGCCTTAGTTAATGTTCAGCCATCTCTGCGTGTGAGGCTGCCATGGACAGCTGAGGCCACTGTCTCAGGGTTAAATACTGTGGACGCTGCTCAGTCTTCACTCTGGCACTCGGGGTACGTCACCAAATGATGGGGGATATCCTTCTGCATATGTGTTACTAAATGCCTCCCTTTTCTTAAGACCACCCTGAGATCCTCAGCCCAATGCCATCCTTGCCTTCCGCATGCAGAAACTCATGTGGCTTAAATCTCTTCCGTCTTGAGGAGCCACCCTAACCCCAAACCTGCCTTCCACAGTTCAGCCAGCAGAAAAATCCCTCCTGCTTCCTCAGGGCGCCTGAAAGCCTAGAAAAATCCCACAGGGGTGGCCTCGCAGCTAGGGAGTAAGCAGTGGGTTTGCTGGGGGCTTTGGTGAAGCACTCATACTTGACACGTCTCTTCTCTGCTCCCCACAAAGCCATTTTGGGGATCTGGGTACATGGCTCAAAAGTACAGCGATTCTGGAGTTCCCCTGCTAATGTGAGAGACCTGCCCATCACTCTATACTCCAGAGAAGGGTCCACAGCAGGCAGGGATCCTGTGAAGGGGTCAAGATTTGTTCTCTACTTAATTTTAGAACCAATAGCTGACTTGAAAACCAGAGCTCCCTTTTTTTTTTTCTGGCCTCTTTGGCCTCGGCGCAGAAGCAAGATGGCGAAAGGAACGTCATCCTTCGGAAAGCGTCACACGTTGTGCCGCCGCTGTGGCTCTAAGGCCCACCACCTTCAGAAGTCTACCCTGCCACGCGCAAGAGAAAGTATCACTGGAGTGCCAAGGCTAAGAGACGAAACACTACTGGGACTGGGCGGATGAGGCACCTAAAAATTGTCTATTGAAGATTCAGATATGGATTCCATGAAGGGACAACCCCTAAACCCAAGAGGGCAGCTGTTGCAGCATCCAGTTCATCTTGAGGATTTCAATCTGTCATAAAATAAATGTTCTGGTTTCCAAAATGAAAAACAAAAAAAAAACCCAGAGCTCTTATTCACGAGCCCCCACCGCACCCCTGTCTCTCGGGCAGGAGTGTGGCCCGCTGACACCACCTCCACTTGACCTTGCCTTACATACCCTGCCCATCCCCAGGACCCAAGGGCTGCACCTCTCCAGGAAAGGGAACTAGACCCACAATGGCAACCCCACCCACCTCTGCGACCTGCCTAGGTCCACATTTCCGGTGAATGCCTTCCACCACAGCCCTCCCTCCTCACCACCGTCAGACA